ATTTGTTTTTTATAACACCTAGATCTTGAATAAATAATGGACATTTTTTGTTAATTATTTGAAAGGTCTCCAAGCCAATTGAGCGCATTCTACGAGTTTTTAGTTATGGAAGGTTTGAAATCTGCAGGAGTGTTTCGTACGAGTTGTGATGGTCTTCATAAATAAAACGAAGCGCTCGTTCTTGTATTTTTTCTATTTTTCTTGTACTTTGTTCCCCACAGAAATGCCAAGTCAAAGGGCAGTAACTTAAGTTTGACATAACAAATGAGTAATAAATTGTAAGTTTACTCAGTTTGTTTAGGTGTTTCCAAATTCTTTTCAAAACATTTAATTCCCTGACAGTCTTTTTACAATTATTTGAAATATGTAAATGGAAGTTTAATTTAAAATCAATTGTAACTCCAAGTAGTTTTACCTCATCCTCACATGATATAGAAATACCGTTCAAATCAAACACAACCTTTTTATCATGTGTTGTTTTACCAAGAGAGATAGCTTAAATTTTCTCTGGGTTGGCCTGTATTTTATTTGAAGAAAACCACGTGCACTGTAGTAAATAATTGCTGTCTTCCGCAAGAGCAGAAATTGCATCTTGTAAGGATTTTCCAGACTTTGACAAGTATTGTCATCAGCATAATTATACAAAGAACATTTTTTTACAAAAAAGAACAAATCATTTATAAAAATATGAAATAGGGTGGGTCCAAGGATGGAACCTTGTAGTACCCCTTTAAATATGTCAAGCATACCACTTAAACGTTGGTTTACTTTCACACACTGTTTTCTTTTTTGTTAAATAACTACATGTTTGTAACATATCAAGTGAGGATTTTGAAAGACCATAAGCTTTTAGTTTCAGTAGCAGTACGTCATGGGGGAGACAGTCAAAAGCTTTTGACAACTCCATCAGGATAGCTGCCAAGGTATTTATTTTGGTCTAGGGCGGATTTCCAATCTTCAATCACTCTTAGTAAAGTTGACTGACATCCAAAGCCTGATCTAAAAGCTGCCAAAAATGGGTGAAGATATTATTAAGTACTGTACTAATTGTACTTCTATGGCATTTTCAAAAGTTTTAGAAATGGCAGGTAACACACTTACCAGTCTATAATTTCCTTTTTCTAAAACACTATTCTTTTTGTGCATAGGTCAACTTAAGCTTTCTTAAAACGGTCAGGGAAGGTTGATGATGATAATGATAAGTCAACAATATCTGTAAGAGGTTTTACAATAGCAGGTTTAAAGTTAGAAAAATGAAGTAATTTAGGTGAAATACCATCTATTCCAGTGGCTTTTTTAACACTAATTTTACGTCTATGTTTCTCAACAAACTCTTGATCAATAGGGGAAAAAGTAAAACTGTTTTGGTCAAGATCTGGAAGATTATCTTTAATGGCCAAAATACTCGGAGTGATCATCATCAACCTTTGTTTGATTGCTTTTAATATTTTTGGCAACATTTACAAAATAGTTATTAAATATTTCACACACCACCTCTTGTTTTGTAATTAAAACATTATTTTCAGAGAGTACAGTTTCCTTTTGGTGTACATTACCTTTATTTGTAAGAAAAGGTTTCACTGTTGGCCAGAAATCTTTAGATTTCGGGCCCCCAGCACAACTCTCTATAAAATATTGGTTAATAGATTTATTTTAACCAATATTAACATGACCAATATTATATACGTTGTATTGCATATTCTACTTTCAGATTCACCTGATTGTTCGTTTTTGCTCTCTCTTTATTTTATTGTTTGTGGTTACTTTTGGTATGTCAACAGATAAACAAGGAACCGCAATAGTGTACACAGCAAATAGACGTATTTGTCGAAATATAACATGGTAATTATGATTTTGTATTATCCTTATATACCCAACATCAAAGATCTTATCCATTAACTTCAATGCGCTCAATCAAAGATGGTACATGTCGTTGATAGTTAGAAATTAAATTCGTCAATTTAACAGAGTACAATAGATAGGTCAACAAAACACCGTCAAATTGATTAAACGACAAAAAAATTCAATAATAAACGAGGAAAACAACTGAAGCTTTTTCTGACTTATTTCAGGCAAGAATGAAACATGATGAGATAAAAAAAAAACCTTTTAATTACTCAACCCTTTCCTATTTCATCTATATCAATAGAATAACGAACTACGTATAAGCGTAGCTTATATATAAAGCAATGAAATATAAATTGTCGATATCACAGACAACAAAACACAGGTGTTAGAAAAGCCACATTTATGATACTGTATCAAAGAATCCAAGCTGTTACTTAAAACAGACTCAAAGTACTCAATCTGCTATTACAGAAACATGTTTGTATACAATGTAAGATACGTCTTAATCAGAAATGTTTAATACATAAAGTTTGCACTAACAAAGTCATGTTTCTATATGTGGAGACTATTTGCCCACATTGGTTTTAACTAAATGTCAAAATAGTAAAATCCAATTAACAAGAGGTACATGTATTTGCAATCTTAATTCTAAATGTCGCTTAAAGCCACTTGATCACATGTTTTGTCTTAAAAATCTGTCTATATCCGAAATATGATAATCGCCCTCCAGCAGTTTTAGAACTTTTTTTTGTTATAATATAAGCATAGTTTGCCTTTCTGAGTTTCATATGATTTAACTATTGTATGTTTTTTTCTTTCTGATTATTTCATGTTCAGTATTAGGACACTAAGTGTTCTCTTAATAAGTTACTATAAATCATTTTTTGTCGATTACTAACATCCATGCCAGTTGGCCTCTGTTGGATAGTTGTCTAATTGGTAATCATACCACTTCTCCTTATTCTTTTATGTAGAAATCGCCAAAAATATTACCACATTGAACAACAGACCACATAATCCACCATCGCCCGTCTCCTCAGACAAAAATACAATTAAAAAAATGAGATTACAACGAACAACACATCTTTAAATAGCCTGACTTGATACGGGCACACAAAGGTTTGGAGCTGAGGATGTTCGCTACTCTTGATTTTAACTTTTTGTCAGATATTCGATATTTCTCTACTTTTATCCATGTAGTGCCAATGAATATTTTGCCCGCGAACCCCTACTTTTCTTTTTATAATTTTATTGAATATAGTTTAACAAGCCATATTAGAAAAACTATCAAATTCTTGTTATTTTTTCATAGTTTTTGAAAAAAAAAGTGACAATGTTAAATGTATGACAAATCTAGGGAGAATCATTTCCCGCCAAATTTTCAATGGCTTATATCATGTATATCTCGAAAACAAGGTCAGGGACCTTTTAATTAGGTCTTTCCACTTTTCCGTGAAAAGACCTATTGCTTTTGTTCTGATTATTTTTTTTTTTCTTCCACCTAATTTTTTTTTCTTCCTCAGTATTATTGTTTGACAAGATGTCGCTTTGATATTTTGTATATGATATCGAACAGTTTATACCCTTTTGAAACTGACCCTTTTTAACCAAACAATTTTTCTTGTAAGAATAACCTCCCCAAACACTGTTTGTCTTGTGGCCACTACTCCTTCGCAACCGTAAAATAAACTGACAAATTTATTTTACCAAATTGCTCATTATGTCCTCAGGATGTTGAGTTTGGTTTTGACCGAAGCGTTCCTTAAACTGCATCTGAGAGTTTTTTTCCCCTAGTGCATTTGTTAGAAGTGATATGCATTTGTAACTGGTAAACCATAAGTACCATAAGTGATAGAGACCTAGGTTCTTTTGATTTGAGGTCCTTGGTCCAAAAAAAAAAAAAAAAGAAACTTAGGTCAAGGTAAAAGGTCAGATCATGTTTTAAATTTTGATTTTGGCTTATTTTCACTTCTGTTCAAAAACCGTATAAGGTATCGACAAAATATGTTTACTAAATTGTTAGTTGCGACATGTGGTAACACTTAAATTTTGGTTCAAAGTTATTTGATATTCAATGAGTTTTTCCTTCCTTTTATATTTAAAATTACGCGTATGGTGATATAACTCATTAATGTGACGTTCTAGATTTTGACCTTTGCCTTAACTTCTAATGTATACATATTAACGCCATAAGACTTTGTGCATTAGGTTGTAAGCAATATGACCTTGAAAAAGCCAACCGGAAGTGACCTTGTGTAAACCGGAAGAAGCTATTGTTTTGTACTCATTATGTGTAAAAGTATATAGAACTACATATTTTAAGAATCAGTGTCAAGGTAACAATCAAATAATACAGGAAGTGACATTTTTCAAAACGGAAGTAACAAAATTAATTATCTCCCATATTTCAAACAATAGTGTATAGAAACCATATATTTTTGGAATCAGTGTTTGACACTGAAAATTTCATTTTAAACCAGATATTAATATTTTCATATCAAAATATATCGTTACGATAGGAAAGACCTTCAACTGTTCTCTGAACAATTGGTTTTTAATTATATCTGGTTTTTTTAGTTCCGTTATTTATATAGTGTCAATTTATATCATTTTTTTTTAGTTTTACGTGCTCATAATATTTGCAGTTGATGCAATACATAAGGATCTTAATGAATCTGACAATTTCTGTAAATGAGCTAACTTATTGTATTGCGCATTTTACTTCCATAGGTTTCCGTTTGCTTTATTTGACGTTTTTCGTGAGAATCTACAAATGTACTTACATTTCTCTCTATTTAATAAAAATTCCCTTACACGTTGTTAATGAAACTCATAGGAAGTCCCGTCTTATATTTTAGAATTGACATGTTAGCTTTTTCGTTTTCCAAAATATTATACGAACCAGTTGGTACAGTAATTTAAAAACACATCAAGGTTCAGACATTCTGAAAACAAATATGTGTCTATTAACTGATCTGTAATGTTAATATCCATTTAAATCTATTTTTCAAAGTCTTGGAGTATATTCTATAAGAATTGATGTCAAGATTAAAAAAAAAACTGAATTATCGAACCAAACATACAGATAGCTAGACTAATTTCGCGACAACCGAAAGGTATTTATTTTGTGTATTTTTTTAATTTAGGAAACTTGAGAGTGATGTTGTCTATGTAAACTTAACGAATGTCTTGAAAAAAGGAGATGGGTAAGTATTATGTTTTTGTCATCAGTTACAACTTATAAATATTAGTCTTAAACATGTATTCATATTTTTATACAAACGTATGATACCGCAATAAGTATAATTGACACATGTTACTGACATAATTTTCACTGAGAAGGCTCAGGACGAATCGATTTCATTATATCTTGTTTGGGAGCATAAAAAAAGACCAAAAACAAAACAATCCAATCTTTTTATAAAATCAATTTTGGCTGATAGAGTTTTAACATTGTAATCATGTATAATTAAAATATGATGCTTATCAGGAAATAGTGGGTGTATGTAAATGTATAGTAACCAAACTAAATAATTATGTTTCGATAGTACACGAATGTCTATACAATTTGTCGAGCTCTTATATTTGCCTCCAGTCCATAAAGGTGGAAAAAACTTACAGGAACAAACCATTGAGATAATAATCGAAGTCATCCATCTGTTGTTTTATCTATACCCTCACGTCTTTCATTATGATCAGTTGAATAACAAAAGATACCAAACATTACCGTGCAGCAAAAGTAAGTTCAGAAAAAATGACTTAATTATAAATATTTGGTATTACAGACATTAAAACATTAATACATTGGTATGAGTAAATGTCATATCTTAGAATGCGCGCAGCTATTTGAAGCAATCTCAGAGTGTAACATCTGTTGGATCATAAATCATACTTACTTACACTTATCGGCAGTTGTACTTCGGACGAGATTTAATGCAGCAAAGTCATGAAAGTGTAGTAAGTCACAATACTCTGTAATGCCTTAAAGATAAGGAAGTTTGTACTGAATTTCAATACAAAACAATTAACAGATACATGTTATACTGGTTTAAAACTATAAGTAAGCGAATTTATATAAGTTTCCTTAACTCTTGCCATAACGATTTAAAAACAACAGTACTATAACCCGTTTTGATTAACATTTTTAGTAAAAAAAAAAAATAGAATAAAAATTCAAAACCGTATTTGCTTAATAAATAAAGAAAACACTGGGTGCGAAATACTACTTTTTATCAAATACCAGCATTGAAGTTGAATCATATTTATTTCTACAATAAACCCGTACATTTCTTAAAAATATATTATCGAAATGATGATACATGTACACTATAAGGTATGTGCAATATCGGACTATCTCAAATAATGCAAGTAGCGTCTTCGATAAAAACAACAGTCAAATGGGTAGTTTGAATAATCGAACTAAGATAAAATTGAGAATGGAAAGGGGGAATGTGTCAAAGAGACAAAAACTCAAACCAAAGAGCAGAAAACAGCCCAATGACAACAATGGGTCTTCCACACAGCGAGAAAATCCCACACCCGGAGGCCGGCTTCATCTGGCTCCTAAACAATAATGTGTACTAGGTCAGTGAAAATGGACGTCACACTAATATCCGAAACATATACTTGAACAAAAAAAAAACATACAAGACTAACAAAGGCAAGAGGCTCCTGACTTGGAACAGGCGAAAAATGCGGTGGGGTTAAACGTGTTTTGTGAGATCTCAACCCTCCCCCTATACCTCTAGCCAATGTAGAATAAACAAACTCACAGCAATACGCACAGTAAAACCCCAATTTAATAGAAATCCGAATTCGGTGTTAGATGTTGTTTTTAATGAACTGGTTTCGACAAATTTAGTGTATTTTACAACAATTTTACACATCTTTGTTTTCGAATGCATTATACGACTGTTATGGTCATGTTGTAGTATTTTAATCAGTTGTCTTCACATGATTATGTTGCGTTTATTCAGTAAAGAGAGAAAGGTAGAAACTGGAGGGCTTACGTCTGTTATGGTTAATGGTACCACAACGAAGGAGATTTGCTGTCCAGGCTTCCATAATAGCAACAGAGGAAGGTGTAAAAGTAAGCTATCTCAATAACATATTTAAAGTTTGTAAAATTGTATGCTCCTGTCTTTTAACCATATTAGGTAAAATAAATTAGTTGGATCCGTTTGACAACGAATTTCTCTTCCATTAGGTCTTGGTTGTAGATGGGTAATTTTGAGAGGACGGCTTATAAATACATGCAAGCAAAAAAAAAATTTCTAGCATGCAAAAAAGAAATATTTCCTTATTTTGTTTACAAATGCTGTGGTTATGGATATTTCACACACTAAAACAAATAATTGCATTTCATCAAATGGACTCCGAAATGATGAACACTGAAAGAGAAACATTCATGAAAGTGCAATTAACTAGTGGCGCATTTTAATGCCTCCACCTTACCGGAGGGAGCTTTAAGTTTTACCCTTGTCCGTCTTTTGTCCGTCCATACGTACGTCCCGAAATTGGTTTCCGTTCTCTAACTTTAGTTTGCTTTAACCAAATGTTTTTAAACTTAAACACAATGCTTATTACCACAGAATACAGACCGAGTTTGAATTTGGGCGGCGTCACTTTTACCGTTCTAGAGTTATGCTCTTCACAAATTGAAAAAAAAATGTTTCACGGATTCAACCTACCTAAACCCTTTTTTCAAACGACTATATCTGCAATCGGGGTCAAAATAACAAAAGATACCAAATATAAGCGTACAGAACTTTTAAGGAAATGTCAGTATTTTTTAGTCTGAATATATATTTGACATCAGCTAAACGACACAATTACCCAAAAGGCCTCTAGAGGCCAAAACACAGTCTACAACAAAAGACAGCTTTTTTACCAGAAGCCAAGCTCTAAGTCGCCGGTTTAAACCATCTATGGGTACATTAAACAGGAGTTATCTACTATGAACGCCTTATCCTCCAAATTACAAAAACATTTAGTAGTGAAGTTGAAGTCATCTCTTCACAAATTTCAAGGACGCCATCAAGAGTTGGTTGACCGTTTTGGAATATCTGTTTCACAGATGACGACAGACATATATGTTCCGATTGTCGTAACCACAATCCCGTGGTCACTCTCTTCCTCAAATGTGATCTACCGAATAAGACTTATCACCGAATTTGTACTTACACGAGTAACACGACGGGTGCCACATGTGAAGCAGGATCTGCTTACTTTTCCGGAGTACATGAGATCACCCCTAGTTTTGTTTTAAAGGGGTTCGTGTTGCTCTTGCTTAAGATATAAGTGTTGTTCTTTGTGATTTTTGATTTTTCAATTTTTGTGTTGTTTATACCGGTAACAATATCGTCTGTCCTTTGTCATAAAAAAACATGTTTTAATGTCAAAATTTCATATTTGGCCAAGTTTCAGGGTTAAAAATTTCACATGACCGATGATCTAGAATTTGGTAATGTCTTAGAGTTAGGTAATAGTCAATAACCAATCCGCTATTTCGTGATATAACTTATAAAAGTATTTTATAGCAGTAACACAACGGGTGTCACATGTGAATCAGGATCTGCTACCCTTCCGGAGCACCTGAGATCATCCCCTGGTTTTGGTGGGGTTCGTGTTGCTTAGTCTTTAGTTTCTTTGTTGTGTTTTGTGTACTGTTTCTCTTTACGTCGTTTTTCGTTTTTTTGCCATGGCATTGGCAATATACAAATTAGAAAATGGTATATGATTGCCAATGAGACAACTCTCCACAAGAGATCAAATGACACAGAAATTAAAAACTATAGGTCACCGTACGGCCTTCAACAATGAGCAAAGCCCATACCGCATAGTCAGCTATAAAAGGCCCCGAAATGACAAATGTAAAACAATTCAAACGAGAAAACTTACGGCCTAATTTATGTACAAAATAATGATCAAACCCTCCCCTCTGTTTATTTTCGACTTGTGAGTTTTAATTCCTCTTTGGTATCTTTCGCCTCTCCTTTACAAAAATTGATTGCCTGTCTGTGAATTGATTTTTACTGTTATTAATGGGTCATTGTACTTTAAACTTCTCGAAAATTACCCGATAAACGGTATTTCTGCCGTTCTGGTTAGGCTCTCAAATGGTTAATTTATCTGTCGTCAACACATTTTATCTTGAACATATGACGTTTATTTAAAAATAATAAAACAACAGACCTGTCGTGTGCAAACAAATCGATAAGAACAAAAGTAAATACTGGTATACATTAATGAGACAGCAATTGCAACCAATCCAAATCTCAAGGTCAAAATGCGTCTTTATCATACACAACTGTTTCCGAGTCTTTCATTATCATAAGACTATTCTACTGTCAGTGAAATTAGAATTTGATACCGTTAAAAACCCATTACCGTGTTAGCAATATCTTATAGGATGTCCTACAAAGAAATTAATATCTTTCTTTTTTTTACAAAAATATACTTATAGGATGTCCCAAAGGTACATACGGTCTAGATTGTCTGAACAAATGTGATTGCACAGGCTTCAGAAAGTGTGACCGCAGAACTGGAGAATGCCAAAAATGCAAAAAAAAGCCATGTGAAGATGATGACGGAGGAGATGATGATAAGTCATCGGTATTGATCACCAAGAAATCAATAACTTCCGATGTATCAGTTTCGGTTCAAACTACAACAGACAGTGAAAACAAAAACGGTGCGTTAAAAGAAGTTCTGAAATGCATGTTACTTACACATATATATTGACATGTTTTTCGCTGTTTAAACAACAGCGTGATAAAATTCGCGATATATCTACACTGTTATGTTTTTGTTTTTATGTCTGTGATGTATGATTACAGTTTTGGCTGTCGGATCCCAATTTTTGACGAGTTGAACAATTATGTTTGTGTGGGTTGCTCACCCATATAACGGAACTATGAACAACTGTCATACAAGTGGGAGGTTTAGCTAGCTATAAAACCAGGTTTAAACTACAATTTCCTTCAGAAAATTCCTCCATCAAGTCAGGATTACGACAGTTGTTTTTTCATTCCGTTGGTTGATATAGTCGAACGTTTGATTTTGTCAGGTTTTATGTACTTCTTCCTTTTTGACCTTGACGTTAGGTATTTTTGTAAATACTGTTTTGCTGAACTTCCAGTGGCAAATGTTGCATGCATATTCACGAATAGAAAAACAAATAAAATATATATGTAAGGAAAGATCAGCCGGAATAAAGAGCGAGAAATTTGGACTGTCGCTGGGAAATAAGGGTGTTGGATAGGAAAAAAATTGTTGCTCGTGACAGGCCACATTTTGCAAGGGTTCTGTTACGTTTCGATTGCGTGTTACAGGTTTACTTTATAAGTTGATGAAAAGCTTACTTTCCCCGGAGTTATTTTTCCTTTAATTTTATGCTAATTTCATTTCAAGCCAGAATAAACAGACATCAATTTGAAAATGCTTTCACTGTTGTTTTTTTCTGCGGTACAAATTTGAAAAATATGAAAATTGTATTCACTGCACTCAACGGATGAAACAGCACCTGTGATCACCCCTGGTATTTGATGGGCTTTGTGTTGCTCAGTCTTTCGTTTTCTTTGTTGTGTTTTGTGTACTGTTTGTCATTTCGTCGTTTTCGTTTTTTTGCCATGGCGTTGTCAGTTTGTTTTCGACTTATGAGTTTGAATATCCCTTTTGTATCTTTCGCCTCTCTTTTACTGGATATTAAGTTATAAGTGTATTGAATATTTTTTATTTTGTTGTTTTTGTTGTTGTTTCAACATGTGTAAGCTACGACTGTTTTTGTTTATTACAGTTTTATCTACTGTTCGTACTTGTGATGTATGTAAAGAATTTGGAAACTGCTCCAGTGAACAAGAGTGTAGTGTATTTTCAGATCTGCATGGTAGGTAATAACATGTATTACTGCCCATTACGAATACAATTATTTACTGAACAATTATATAATTCGATATGCTCGTTAACTTTGTTTGTTGTGAAGTGTAAGATCTAAAGAGATTTAATAAGAGTTCATATTCAGACGATTTTTAAGCATCCGATTAAATATTGCCGTACAAATGTTTCGGTATTTTTCAATGTGGACTTTCCAAAAAATGTCTGACTAACTGCAAAATATTTCCAGAAAAATCTGCAACTATTTTTCGACATTTACTAAACATTATCCACTGACGTGATTGTTAACATATTTCAAATAGCAAAAAGAACAATTTCGTTGTTTTTTTTTTTTAATTTTATTAATTGTACGTTTATACTTAATTTATTCATATAGAGTTGAATTCTTACTTTATTGTGTTGATATGCGTTTTTCGGGAAATATTTGTAGTCAAAGTGCTAGAGTGTCACTCAAAATGATTGGTTGATTTAAAATATGCTTACATGTCATATGAATTTGAATCAAATTATACACACGAACTGATAAATGTGTTTATATGACTAATACCTCTTACACTCATCAGTGCTATCGAATTAATATATCAGCTTCTTATGCATTTTTCAAAACAATCTTCCATCAAATTAGTTCTCTTAAAATTATGTTTAATCAAAAGTATTTATTCATACATGTATATCTAAAAATTCACAAGATGAACTGTTGATGCAAATATTATATATGTTGCTTTTGAATATTTTTGATAGTAAAATGTAATGTTGAAATAGAAATGGCAATAGTTTAAATCAAATGTTGAAATTTAATTGGATGTTGAGTTATAAATGTATTGAATATTTTTTATTTTGTTGTTTTTTGTTGTTGTTGCAAAATGTGTATGCTACGACTGTTTTTGTTTATTGTAGTTATATCTACTGTTCACACTTGTGATGTTTGTGAAGAATTTGGAAACTGCTCCAGTGAACAAGAGTGTAGTATACATGGTGTAGTTTCCGATCAGCATGGTAGGTAATTACGTGTATTACTGCCCATTATGACTACAATTGTATACTGAACAATTGTATAATTCGATACGATCGTTAGCGTTGTTTGTTTGACGTATAAGATATCAAGAGATTTAATAAGATTTCTGATTCAGACGATTTTTAAGCATCCAATTAAATATTTCCTTACAAATGTTTTGGTATTTTTCAATGTCCCAAACAATGTCTGATTAACTGAAAAAATTTCCAAAATAATCCTCAACTAATTTTTGACATTTAGTAAACGTTATCCACCGACGTGACTGTAAACTTATTTCAAACAGCTAAAAGAACTATTTCGTTTTTTTTTATTACTTTGAGTAAATGTACGTTTTTACTTAATTTATCAAAAAGTAAAATAACAAAAATACCAACTCCAAGGAAATGTCAATATTGAGTTTAATTCTTACTTTATTGTGTTGATCTGTGTTTGTTGGGAACCATTTGTAGTCAAAGTACTAGAGTGTCACTCAAAATGAGTGGTTGATTTAAAATATGCTTATATATCTGATAAATTTGAATCAAATTATACACATGAACTGATAAACGTGTTTATATGACTGATACCTCTTACACTCATCAGTGCTTTCGAATTAATATATCAGCTTCTTATGCATTTTTTTGAAATGAAGAAGTTTGCTACTAAAACTCCTGAAATAAGAGCCAGTCAAATCAATAAATAAATACATTGTAGTAGACAATAAATTTAAGGAACTGTTTTTGAATAAAAAGCCAAATATTTTACTCTTTCGGTAACAAGAACCATTCTACTGTTTTGGTATCAGAAAAAATAAGAATGATAAGAGTTATTGAAAACTGTAACGGAATGTCTAATGAAATGAATATCATATTCTTTATTTTCATTGCAGATTCTGATTCTAGCCGCAAGACTGACAAGTGGACTATCATTATAATGGTATTGTCCGTAAGTGTCATAGGAAATGTCATCGCTTTTGTATTGGGATTCAGAAGGTTGGTTAAACTTATATAGATTTCAAAGAAATTAGCCAATATTTAAGTTCAAACCCTGACAGACATCAAATAATAGAATACCTTATCTATCATCTCTGTTAAAGAAAATGCTTTATTAAATACAAACCACAATTTAAATATAAACAAGGAAAAGACATAAAATGAACAAAACCTTTTAGTTCTCTCATATAGATAACTATGTCAATACATTCACTTATTCAGTATGTATTATAAACCAAATTTATAGTTTAAGGGAGAAAACCAAGTTTTTGGGAGGAGAGTACAACAACGGGAGGTTCCAAAGAATTTTTTCACTATATTATATATTATCATCAATTCAGTAATACTTAAATGAGGAACGGAGAATATGTTTATACCCTTTCTACATGGAAATCATTCACTCCATCCGTTTGCCAAGAAAATATAATCCTACAGGTACAAATGAATGGACTTGGCTTCATATTTGGTCAGTAATTTGGCAGTGATGAGTTGATCATCATCTCAGTATTCAGTGCTTTGGTACTGATTTAAATTCTTCATTGTTATTTTGAGAAATTATTAAGTAGCTTAGATTCTAACTCACTCGGGAGGAGTTCATCCTTTGTGGATTTGGCTTTTCTTTTTATATCCGTTAGGTCTTATATAGCTCCTGGAGTATTCAAATATTTATAAATCCTTTGAATTTTGAAGCGTTCCCGACGAAGATATATACAAATAATCAATTCGCACGCACGAACATTTATTAAGTATTGGTTCCTTTTTGCAACCTGTGGGCGCTTTCATATCTGTCAGACACCTAGTTTTATTTTCCGATATTAAAATTACAAATATGGTAGTGCTTAGCACGACAACGTGTACAATTTTATATGGTTTTTGTCTCGCCTGCGACGAAAGTCACAGTCTGGGAACATAGGGATTACTATACGGCGGCGGCGGTGTAAACTATTTGCGTAAAGCTTTATATTGCAGAAGGTATAAGACCTGGATAATTCATACCTTATGTGCAGATACCTTATGTTACGAAGTTTACGTCTGTCATATGACCATTGTCCTTGACCTCATTTTCATTGTTCAGCGACTGTTTGAAAAAAAGTTATTGTGTTTTTGTCATGTTAACTTCTCACTTATTATGAGTAATATGATAACTGTATTTGGTATATGGATTCCTTGCAACGTCTACATGTCCGTCAGACAGGATTCACCTGACCTCGATCTCATTTTATGGATCAGTGATCAAGGTAAACGTTACTTGATTATGTCCGTTTCTCAGAAACTTTAAGCAATAGGCCAACTATATGTGGTGTATGGAATGATTACAAGGGGTACATATCAGTCTGGCAGGTTCGACTGACCTTGACCTTATTTTCATGGTTCATTGGTCATGTTAAGTTTTTGTGTTTTGGTCTGTTTTTCAAGTATTATAAGCAATAGGTCAACTATATTTGGTGTAATGATAGATTGTAAGGTGTACATGTTTGTCTAGCAGGTATCATCTGACCTTGACCTCATTGGTCAATGTTAAGGATTTGTGTTTTTCGTCTATTTTTCAAATACTTTACGTAGTAGGTCAACTATATTTGGTGTATGGAATGATTGTAAGGTATACATGTCTGTCTGGCAGGTATAATCTGACCATGGCCTCATTTTCATGGTTCATTGGTCAAATTTAAGTCTTTGTGTTTTATCTGTTTACCATAAGCAATAGGTCAACCATATTTGGTGAATGGAATTATTATAAGGTGTACATGTCTGTCTGACAAGATTTATCAGACCTTGACCTTATTGTCATAGATCTTTAAAACGTTAAGTTTATGTGATACTTGTAAAAAACTTTTATCTTTAAGACTTTCAACATTAAATCAGTGGTCAGTAAAGCAGGCGAGACATTTCAGCGTTTGCACTCATGTTTTAATTGTATATGATAGAATATATATTTTTAGCAATTTTTTTATGGGAAAATCAGAAAAACTTAGAAATTTAACTGGACTTGTTTAGTGATAAACCATTTTACATAATTATATTTTTGCACAGAAAATATATATTCATAAGCTTAAATTTTTATTGGGTGAAAGAGTGATAAGAATGATAGAATAAAATAAGTACAATAAATCTTTGGATGAAAAATGATTTATTCTTTGTAAAAATTAAAAAAAAACAACTAAAATTCAATACAATAAAACAATTTTAGAAAAATATAAGTGGCAAAGGAAACAATGGATTGAAACAATGTTAATTTTAGATATGTCTCTTGTCGGTTAAAATATTTTAATCAAAGTAGAAATGTTTGTAAGGAATGGTACAGTTCCCATGACTTAGAAAATATGATTCGGTTTAATTTTAAGAAAGAACACGTCTAATTTGCCTGACAAACATATTGTCTATTATATAGGATTTGTAAAAAATAGTCACATGCTATTGAATACAAATGTAATTATATGAGCCATCGGACATTTAAAGCGATTGCAATTTTTATTTTCGCTTATAACTGTCAGTTTTGTACTTTTGTGAACAAATAAAGGAGTTTTGTTAAATTTCTGAGAGACAAGAACACACGAAAAGTTGTTATTCAGTTTACAATATTTTATTTATTTATGTTTCAAATTCAATGATTTCTTTATAAATAAAAATAAACAACTGAAACATGTGAATGTTTAACATCTGAAAAGCGTTATGGTATTGATTGACTGTTTTTTTCATTATTATAAAAACCAAATCTGTTAATCCAAAACATATTTTAAACTTTCACACTATTTGCCAATATTTTCTCTATTACGATTCCCCCTCCCCAATTTTTCTTGCAAGACGCTGATTACTCCCAAATGTCTATCAAAATATTGCAGTTTATTCATTTCCTTTTCGTTTTGAAAAATTCTTCCATTATTTATTTCTATACGGGAAAAAAAACTGTTGTTAAATAAGTGTTTATTGGAATCAATTGTATCCCTCTTCTTGCGGACCTGTTCCAGTTTTCGTATAAAGAGGCTTCATATATGAGCTTCTTAGGGAAATGAAAGTAGCCATCACATATCAATTTGAACTTTTGTTTCTTTAGAGATAATGTCCTCTTACTGAATAAGTTAGTGACGATCTTGATCACATCCATCCAAGCATACTTGATGTAAAGGATACCGGATATGCTAATCTGTATTTACATCTTGAAACAATTAATGTACACTGGCAACTTTCAATATGGAGCTCGTACGATTTAACTAGGATTGTGATTCATGATTGAGGATTGCTGTTAACTAACGACATCATAAATTTGAGAACCCTTATGAAATATATGATAGATTGAATAAATTCGTTGCATATTTCGTTTTTTTGTTGTTTTAAATACTAGAGCTAGACTATATTTTTTATATTTATATTTGATGTGTTTCCCTCGGTTTTGGTTTGTAACCCGGATTTGTTTTTTTCTCAATCGATTTGTGAATTTCGAACAGAGGTATACTACTGTTGCCTTTATTTATTGAGGTATAACCATATGTTTTGCATTTTCTCTTCGCCTAATTTCAGGTATCAAAGAAGGCGACAACGAAAGCAAAGTCAAACCGGTAATTAATTAATTAAGTTTACCTCGAAAATAAAATACTTTTCAAACAGTCAGCAACAACTCCTGTTCTATAACAGGAAGAAGAAGATAATGATGTGAATTAATTGAACAAGTCTCGTACAAATACACTACAAGTATGTAAATTGGTACTTAACAGTCTAATCCGAATTCTAAATTCATGTCCATCATTATTAAAACAATCCTATTTCTAGCTATTTTATTTTTGAATATTGAAATTGTTACTATAAGTTGCAAAATAAATATATGTCATATCTAAATATATGAATTTCAATTCATTAGTTAAAAGACAGTTCTGATCGTTTCGAGTATTAAGATTTTAAAATTAAAATCTAGATAGTGCTACTGATTGACATAATTTTGGTGGAGTTCGTGTTGCTCAGTCTTATGTACTATTGTTTGTCATTTCGTCGTTTTTACTTTTATTTCAATTACCTTGTCAGTTTGTTTTCGACTTACGAGTTTGATTTTGAATATCCCTTTGGTATATTTCGCCTCTCTTTTAAACTTGAGAGTATTGTCTACAAACAAAAATTATCACAACAGGTAAGTTGTCATAACACTACATCATTTACCAAAATTATATAAATCTTAGAAAATCGATTCAAAAATGTTAAAATGTTACCATTTTTCTATTGATTTAAACGATAAATGTTGTATCAAATGAATGCAACTTCACTTCTCGACTACTGTATCACTAGCCTGTCAACACTGAGGTTGTGAGTTTGAATCCCGCACGTGGCCGGTGCGCTCGACTTCAATCTTAATTGACTAGGATTGTCAGTTTTCCTACAGAAGGTCTGTGGTTTTCTCCGGGTACTCCGCCTTCCTAAAAAAAACTGACCGCCATCAAATCGCACATTAGTGCTGAAAGTGGCGTTATACTCCAATCATTCAACCAATCAATCAATCAAATTTCATTAAATTAATCATTATTATGCCCCACCTACGATAGTAGAGGGGCATTATGTTTTTCGGTCTGTGCGTCTGATCGTTCGTTCGTTCGTTTGTCCGTCCGTCCGTCCGTCCGTCTGTCCCGCTTCAGGTTAAAGTTTTTGGTCAAGGTAGTTTTTGATGAAGTCCAATCACCTTGAAACTTAGTACATATGTTCCCTATGATATGATCTTTCTAATTTTAATGGCAAATTAGACACCCAATTTCACGGTCCACTGAACAAAGAAAATGATAGTGCGAGTGGGGTATCCGTGTACTATGGACACATTCTTGTTTTCTGTTTTAAATTATTGGTGAAAAAATCAGCATCAGAAAAAAAAACTTGTTATTGCCACTTCAAACTTCAATATGAAGACATTAAGCTTAATGTTTGTTTTTTGGTAATATTAAGAAAGATATTGGTAACAAAGCATTATTGGAGGAAATAGCAGTTAAGCGATGTTCAAATCTTACAAATCCATTAAAAACATATTAATCAAGGTATAAAATTGGGGGAATCAAATTAACTCTTAAAGAAGCGAGACAGGGTGCACCGACAAGCTAAGATCTAACATAGCGAAATTATGTCGTTAGTGAGTTGAGACACTGAAACATCGTATCAGTCAACCAATGTCGTTATCTGGCTAATTTCGCCTTTGTATATCTTTGACAAACCTAAATACATTTTTCTAGATATTATTTTACAGCTCCAGTCATCCAATTAACGAATGAAGTTAATAATGGCGTGGAAGCTAACCAAGACAGCATGGCAGAAAATTACATGGTTGGGTATAGCCAGATGACGGACGATTGTCATTCCTACAATGTATTGGACAACAACAGAGCCTATGTCAGCATGTATAATGTCATTAACGACATTAACCAGTACACAAATGATATGACACTCAGTAGTAATGACCTTCATAACTTTCATTCTGCGGGGGAAATAGAGACAGCCAGACATTCAGAGACAGTCAGACATTCAGTTGAAAATGACTACGAAACTGTAGAGTAGCATGGCACTCGAATTATATATATATCATAATATGGATATGAACTGTCTCTTTTCTATTGGCTTCTGAATGTTTAATATTTTCATGAAAGATAATAAAGCATCAAGCAATATGTTCCGTAGTTTTCAAAGATGTCTTTGATGTTACTGATTTCATTGATTATACTAATTATTAAATTAAGAAAAAAATTGAATAATTGTTTTCCTATCAAACAAAAGTATAAAATAGAAATAATAAAAGGTGGTATGATTGCCAATGAGACATATCTCCACCAGAAGCCAAATGTCATAGAATGTCACCGTACAGCCTTTAACAAGCAAGACCCATACAGCATAATAAACTATAAAAGGTTCCGAAATGACAAATGTAAAACAATTCAAACGAGAAAAAAAATTTGTTTTTCTGTAAAGCAATGGAACATGTGGAAGTAAGTTGTTTATATTGAAGACTTCATCATTTTGATAGACCACTAGTCTAAATGCCACATGTTAAGATACTGTTAATGCAGAAAAATATTTCGAGGTTTTTATTGTTGCGAAGAATGCGACTGGGTGAGTATCGCAATAATAAGAACTCGCACTTTGGTATCTGATTCATTCATCTTTATGCAGATTTCCAGAAATCGCAATAATAAATCTCGCATTTTTGTTCATTCAGAAAAAAATCGGAACGCAATTATTTCTGGATTTAAAGTAGTCGATAAGATAAATTCGTTACACAGTGTGCTAGGGCCAGTAAATTCCATAGGGTTCGAGCTTCGCTCTCACCCCATATATATCGTATTAGGTCACTAGCACACTGTGTAACTAATATGATTAGAGAAGCTGAAGCACTGTAACAACCAACTGAACTGTAATGTTTAGCGTAGAACTAATAAAGCAATAATTAAATAGTTTTTCTTCTGCAATAGTACTTTAGTAGTTTCTGAGTAAACGTATATCTCGTGAAAATACTAGAATTTAAACATCCTCATATTGTTTCCACTAAGATACGTAACTGCTATAGACATGATAGAATAAGGGTTAATGATATGTTAACTTGCTGTTACTAAATTTAGAAATCATTCTAAATTCAAGATCAAACTGCCTATTCAGTTCTACTAGTGAAGTTTTCTTAATATTTTGTGTGTAGGTATTTCATGATTTTGGAAACAAAATAAAATGAAAAAAATTGGGGTCATAGAATTAGATACGTCGTTATAGCAAACCTTAGTTTCGTATTTTTCTCTATCGAACCTACAGACATAATTCTTTTTTTTCATGTTTATAGATAGGTATAGGAAGATGTGGTATGAGTGCCAATGAGACAACTCTCCATCCAAGTAACAATTTATAAAAGTAAACCATTATAGGTCAAGGTACGGCCTTCAACACGGAGCATTGGCTCACACCGAACAGCAAGCTATAAAGGGCCCCTAAAATTACTAGTGTAAAACCATTCAAACGGGAAAACCAACGGTCTAATCTATATAAAAACGAGAAACGAGAAACACGTATGAACTACATAAACAGACGACTTACTTACTTAGGACAGGTGCAAACATTTGCAGCGGGATTAAACGTTTTAATGGTACCAAACCTTCTCCCTTTTCAGAAACAATAGTATAACATCACAACATAGAAAGACACACTATAAAATATCAATTGGAAGGCTTAACTCAATCAAAAAACGTAAATTAACACACAATGAACGAATAAATTTGATCTGTGATAACTGAATAAAAATACATAGTTAATAACAATTATAAGGGATAAATAATTAAGGTTAAAAGTAAATAAACAGGTTTAACAGTAGATTTGTATCTATCAACTACAGATTTTACAGTTAAAGATTCTTGGTGTTTTGATCTTAAAAAGTATGATTTATTTATTCCCAAGTAAAGTATAAAAAACGTTTCAAGAATTTAAAAAATATCTTTCTGTGATTTTTTCATAAAAATGTCAAGAAGGAAAGTGCTTTTTGTACTCTTTCAAATGAAGCCCCAAAAAGTATGTCTCCGACCTTTTAAAAACGTATTGAGCAATTTTTATGTTTTTTTCCTATTTTGTTTTCAAGAAAAGAGTTGCCTTTCTTCAGAACACTGAATCTGACGTTATAGTACAAGTTGCCCGCAACTTTCGCAAATATAGCAAATTGGACGTTTGAAACTCACATTCAGATTTTCAATAATAACAAAAATATATTCCAGTTTTATCCTGTAATACAAGTGATCAAATGTATGTATCAGTATTTGTCATTCTGTTGCCGTAAAAAACATAGCCTTCAGAAATACCGTCCGTTGAAAAGTAGAATTGTTCGAAATCACCTTCTTCTCCACTTGAAAAAGGAAAGTTTGTTTTTGACCCTGCCATTTCTTTGACAGAATAATTGAAATTAAAAAAAAAAAAAAAATGAAAGATGACAGTGACTAACTTCTAGACAACGAGACTTTATTAGATTATATAAGTGTATATTTTTTTTGCTCGTCACTTTCAGAAGATTGCACCAGCCCACTTTTCAGTCTACTCCTTCGCCACGGTAGTATTGACTAACGGACATAAGCACGGACGGACTACGAAATACAATAATACGTCCCGACCAAAACGGGCATATAAAAACTTTTCCAACTTATATATGGATTCATTATTTCTGAATACTTATAATCTAAGGAACTTAGAATGATAGTTAGAATCAAGTTTTAAATTTTAAATGTTTCATGTATTTGGTCTATTATAAAGTACGATCTCAGTTATTACTCTTTCACAAGTCTTGAATAAATGAGAAAACACAAAATACATTTAAGCCGGAAAAGACGCCTAGTTTAGAATTAAACAATTTTCATTTGAACTTACATTTTGAAAATATAAATTATGTCTCAAAACAGTTTAAATGTAGAAGATTCGATAGAGTCTAATCTAATGAATCTAAAAAGTAAAATAACAGAAATTCCGAACTCCAAGGAAAATTCAAAACGAAATTCCGTTATCAAATGGCAAAATTAAAAGCTCAAACACATCAAACAAATGGAAAACAAATGTCATATTTCTAACTTTGTACAGGCATTTCCTTATGTAGAAAATGGTGAATTTAACCTTGTTTTATAGCCAGCTAAACCTCTCACTTGTATGACAGTCGCATATAATTCCATTATATTGACAACAATGTGTGAGTAAAACAAACCGGCATAATAGTTGAAAATGACTAAAATTGTGGTACAGCAGTCAACATTCCAGAAAAGAGCTTCGGACGCATGAAATTTATAAAGTTTTGTTTTCATTTTTTTTTCTTCAACATTGTGTTATAATCTTAACTACTATAAAAACAAACAACAATGTCAACAATGAAAAACAAAATGGCATATAGACACTCTTAAGACAAAGCATATAAGCAAAAATGAAAGACAAGAATACAAAACAACGACCATAGCACAATAACACAATGGCACGATGTATAAGTACCGAGCCATGCCAAAAGAATATTATCAAAAATGGACTAAACAGTAAAGGATTAAATTATACAAAGAACACTATAACACGTAATTAAGATGATAAACAACGTCAGTGCCTAAAATCTATACTTCAAGACCATCATGTACTATTTGTGAAGTTGATACGGAATATTTATCAACAAGGTCTTGGTATCTTCCGATAATTTTTTGGACTTGACCCTGGTTCATCAACTTTCTGCTCAGACAGTGGTGACGTTTTGTAAAGTCTGAGTGGCAGCTGCAAGCTCTTGAATGCGGAATGAGTTGGGAAATGATATTCCATATGCAGCGTGTTGGTTTATTGCTGCTAAGGTGGGGGAAATTTATAATTTCAAAATCAAAATCGTCTCGTTTGTCATAGATTCCGGTACTGAGATGACCTCTAATGTAAATTGACCTTTTTTAAAATTATTAAAGACATGACAACGTATACAAATGTTGTCTGTTCTATGGTCGGGTTGTTGTCTCTTTGACACATTCCCCATTTCCATTCTCAATTTTACTGAAAAAATATTTCATCAACTTTTCTATGACATATAGCTTTATGAAAGTGAGGAATTTAATGTTGAATTTTATTCTACAGTTTAGTATTATAAATCAAGCATAGATTTCTTTAAAATCTTGACTTAAGCTTCAGTGAGAGCAAGCGAAATCTTTATTATGTTTCACTTCAGGCAATTTTTAATGAAATAAATTACAAAATACAATGCATCTTGCTTTGTTTTAAAAGATTGTTTTCTTCAATTTAGCAGTATAAATTAAATTGAACTTCATTTCAAAACCGGACAATATTTTACGGGAATCAGTTAGACTAAACAATCCAGAGAATAAGTAAAAAGAAAATTTGGTGTTACCGTGTTAATATATATCGACACTACATGATTCATTATTTATCGGCCTAAACGTTTAAAAACTCAATTTACAAAAGTTCAAATTCTAAGCGTTAGTAAATTAAAAGTTATCCATTTACACATGTAAAAAAAAATCAACATTTGTAGTGGAACGGTTAACTGTCAAGGTAACAAGTAGTGTAGTATCTTTTGTTCATTTTGTTTAAATGTCCACTAGCTATTTGCGGTGCTCAATTTTACAAAACATATTTTGATGCATACATCGTTTTCGAATCTGTAAAATACGCAAACTGGGACCTTCTAATCTACCGCTTTTGCCTAACAGGAAACAAAGTCATAACGTTTTTACGTCATAATCAAGTTGCGTTAGCTAATGTGCACAATATTGGCTGTTTGTCTATCAAGGCATGTGAGAAATAAAGCAATGGAAATAATAGACAGAGGTTTATTCGAGAAAGAAGTGACACTGTATTGGCATAAGTTTTTATAAGCATCGGCAAATAAGATGGTTTCCGAAAAAAAAATTTGTAACAAGGCGTCATTGAAAGATTGTTTAATTGATATCTATTTTGATTCTCACAAAACAGTTGGAAATAAAAATATGAAAAGTATATTTAATCATTTGGAAACCACTCTATCTTTCTTGCTTATTCCAGTGTTTGACACTAGATCTTTATGATTATTATTTTATACCTATAAAATTGTGGTGACATATAAGACTGAACTCAAACTGTCTGTAGCATAATTTGCATTTTACTATACTTTTAAAAGAGTTGTTGAATAGTTTGTGTAAAGGTGTGCAGTGCACATGGTTACTGTTTTAAGAGAATCTTTAAGATGAATGGATGACAAATGTTCCTTTTCAATGGATTCTTATTTTCTTTCCCAGCGTCCCCTTTTCCCCGAACGTGACCTACCGAATTAAACTTATCACCGGGTTTGTACTAACATGTGCAACACGACGGGTGCCATATGTGGAGAAGGATCTGCTTACCCTTCCGTAGCACCTGAGATCACCCCCAGTTTTTGATGGGGTTCGTGTTGCTCAGTCTTTGGTTTTATATGTTGTTTTTGGTGTTCTGTTGTTTGTTTGTCTTTTCTTTTTTAGCAATGGCGTTTGCGGTTCATTTTCGACGAATGAGTTTGTTATCCTTCGCCTCTCTTTTTATGATTATAGGGAAAATGACATACACATATAAATCTTTCTTTTTAATATCCGCCGAATGATTACTGGAACTGCAATTAAGTCAAGTCTTATCAAATGTAAAGATTCCCTTTACAATAAAGTGTAGATCATTCATTCAAAATTAACTCACTTCTAACCAATCGCCTTATATTTCTATCTTAAAATCATACTTATAAATTAAGAGCCTCAGTGGTTGCTATGAGTCATTAATGAAAATTAAACTGAAATGGAACATACACATAGTATACATATACGGTGTAATAGACGTTTGTGTGAAATACGTCTAAAATTTTTTAAAAAGACTCGATTTCAATTTCATGTGTAACATAACAACGACAACGATTTCGTGCATCTTAAATATGAAGAGAATTTAGCTGAGATCAAATCAATCGATTTAGATGATCTGAATATGAAATCTGAAAATGAATATATAACGAACGGAAACCACAAATACAATCGGGTGTATAATTAGTTTAAAGTACTATAAACCTGGTTATCCAAATTAATCAATTAGTCATCCGGAAGAAATTAATCCATCAAAACATCATTTTTTCTTTCATGTAAAACGAATGCAAAGTTCTTTTCTTTTCAACAAAACTTGCAACATCCAAGGTAAGTGTTTAACAAAACTGAATCCAAGAACTTTGGTGGTATGTAATAATTTATTATTTTTATTGTTGTTGATGTGACAAACATAAAATTTCTGATGATATACTGCATAGACAATATATTAATTATTAAACTAAAAGAGAGGCGGAAGATACCAAAGGGATAGTCCAACTCCTAAGTCGAAAACGAACTGACAATACCATGGCAAAAAACAAAACTAAAGACAACAAATATAATATAACAATATAAATTCTATTCACATGTAAATCATATCACTTTGTTTGTGCAATAAAAAGAGACTACTAAATACATTAATTTTTTATTGAAAACATTTATGTGTTCGGTCTTTGCGTCAATGTCAGGTTAAAGTTTTTACTTTATGTAGTTCACGAATCGGAGGTGATATTGACGGTGTTTTCAAGCTATGCCAAGATTTGATGAATATTTATTCAACCTTTGCCTACATACAAAATACAAAAGGTGTTGTTATATACAATTATTAATTAATTACAGGTAAACAGTCAGTATTTTAAAGCATTAAATATTACTCTTTTAAAACCATAAAAATTAATATTTGCCAATTGTGATGTACTAAAAATTAAACATGTTAAATTAATTTAAAAGAAAAACAAAGAAAAGCCAAAAATCATAAAATAGAACACTTTATACTTTCAAACAAGTGTTGAATTAAATACTGAATTAATAATGCAACAATAGACAATATTCTATTATTATATAGAACACTAAATACTAGCAAAAAAATAAAGCTACAAATGAAAGTTTATTTGCAAATTGTAAAGATAACTTTTATTAATCATTTTTTATACAAAATATAAAACATGCCATAAACAAGCAACAAAATATACAAAAATCCTACAGGTTAATACCATGCTTTCGTCGACGGCGCAATCTTCCCACTGGTTTACGCATTAATACCTGGTAAAAGCCAAGTCGTCTACGTAAGGTTCTTGACACTTCTGAAACAAGCATGCAAACGCCATGATTTATAGCTATAACCAACTACTATCATCTTGGATTATGAAGTTGCAGTACGTAACTTATGGAGTATTTCATGGTTTTACAAGTAAAGGTTGCTTCTTTCATTATACCGAATGTATCTGGAGAAAGACACAGGATACTGGCCTTTAAACCCACCACAAGAACGACAATGAAATCAACAGACTGGTTCCATGTCCAGCAGTGCTCTCCCTTGTGCCAATTCAGCATGTACAGGATGTTTGGTTGAATATATTAGAAGAATTTGAAAAACACTAACACAAACATCAACACTTTAGGGTGTACAGACTACGTCACAGAATACTTGGTTAAGATTAACAGCCACTTCCGGAACCATTATGAAACAGTAGACCTAAGATGAAACAACCACTTAGAAAGTTGGCCTCTTAAACTAAAGAATCATGTAGAGCACCCACCCTAATTTGACAACAAACTAGCTAACCTAATACATAAACTCCTGGATACCAAAATTACACCTGTTCAGTACGCAGAAACAACATCATATCGTTACATATTAATAAGTGTTTTACTTTTGTGACAATCATAATAAACCTTTTCATATACTGTGTCTGTGAGGCGTGTGTCAATATTGTAGAATTTAATAGTTAACATTCAAACATTATGTTTTACTAAAAGTCAAAGACGTTTTCTTTAAATTGCATGCTATGTTAAGGAAATGTTTTACCTAATGCATGCATACATACTAAACTAAGTCATATATGCACGATTTTTTTACATTTATTACAAATACATAACATATAATCGATATAAAATATTTCATGCAGTGAACACGTTCTGTTCTATTTAACTTTCGTATTGTTTTGCAAACGTTTACCGAACGTGACATAAAAATACAATCAACACAGAATCATGGAGCACGTAAAAATAAGTGAGATAATAAACTTGCGATAGAGTGATGTTTATCTATTTTCAAATTTAAATATTTTCCATGCGTATCTGATTGTTATTAAAACTTACTGGAAGACAATTATTTAATAGCATTACATTTCTGAAGATTTCGATCAAATGAAGAGTTTTTTTGTTAAAGAAGCTCCGCGTACGCGTGTTTTAAATACTTTGTCTATCAAGTATTTAAAACATATCAAATTTTTTTCTTCAAATTTTTAGTATGACTTTGTCAGTTTTACAGAATATGTGTTTTAATAGTGCTATAGTCAGCATGTCAATGTATTTGAAGGAATCTATTTTACTTATCTTTAGATACTTTGATCATATATTGTATTTTATATTCATAAAAAAATACTGGTATATATTTAATATGAGCAGACGATTAATCCTTATTTTCTATTGTTTTATTATATGAATTGCTAATGATAAAAGAATCGTCATCACACAAATATTTACCTACATTTTCACTGTTACATGCGATATATGTAACACAAAGGGTTTTGAGTACACTTCAACTCTAAATTTAAACTGGTTATAATTTGATTGGCTCCTAATCAATTTATGTTGTTATACCACTTAATCTGTTATAAGTTGTTCAACCTATACCTATACAGTTTTTCATGCAATTTATACCTTAATTTCAAAATGATGGCATAGGTTGAATGAACCATATCGACATGTTGATTTGTACACATGTTCATTATGAGAATTTTTTAAATGTATGTGAAATTAGGGGTTTTACCATTATTTTATAGTTTTTCATTAATATAGAAATATATTGATGCGAGTTGAGCATGATGTTCTATGTACAATAGACAAAAAAAAAAGGATATGGGGTATCCATCCATGACACAAAATCAGTACATACACAGTAAAAAAGCACACAAAAAGCAAAGGAACTATATTAGTCCATTGATATGATTACAAAATATGTGACAGAATCGAACCAATGACATGTTTGTCTCTCAATGCTAACAATAATAGGCTTAAACTAAGGATCATAAACTGCCATTATTTGAATTATTTGTAACAATACGCAAACACACTCAAAAACAAAGAAACACATCGCAATGAACATGTACAGTTTCATTTATAGTACAGGTTCCTGTTAACACACATACACATTTAAAAAATGAATGCTTCTTTTTGTAATTTTATTGGGGTGTAAAAGTGTTGACCAAAGCACATTTTATATGAAGCGCGGATATGTGCACGATCAACACTTTTACCCAATGAAATTACAAAAAGAAGCATTCATTTCTTATAATTACATTTTTATGCTAATAAGACCATGAAAAAAAATCTTATCAAGTTTTTCTTTTATTTACCTGTGCACTTTTTTGTAGAAGCACGTGTCATCATGAATGAAACATTTCATTTAGATATGAAGATTAATTTTTGAATGACGCGCGATTGTTGTTAGCCAATCAAACTAACGAATTCTCGTGAAGCATACATGTGATGTAAACATTAATATATATAACATGTATAAGGCATTGTTTTCGTCCCAATACGAAATATAACATAAAAACATATTCATAGAATCATAGGCTATGTCAATTATTATTCTATTCTATAATTGGCTTAAATTTCAAATTAAGTAGCCACAACATTTTTGCTGTCTGATATTACACTGATACATATATGTTTCTAGTTCTGGAAATTAACTATCAGAACATTATCATGCCACTGTAATTTTTATGTAAATACAGATTAAGATACAAACGCCTAACACATGTGAAACATCAGTTTTGAACTAGGTATTAATAAAAAAAAATCTTTTTAGACTAAACTTGATATGATTGTTCATAAACATCAGATGACTGAATTAGGGATTGGTATGGTGTGTCTGATTGGTTTCGTTCTTTCCAATGACGATCGTGGAATTATACGTCCGACCAAAGAGAAAGGAACCTGCACAAAAACAACATGGTAATCTAACTAGTATATGATTGTGTTAAGGACAAAATAGAAGAGTAGAGAGAAAGAGACAGAAAGAAAGAGAGTGAGGGTAGTTGATTCAGACTAGATATATACTTTTATATACATTTTATTAAAAGGTGATCAAAGACAAAATACGTCTGATTCACTGGTTTATTTTTCAGAACTCTAATAATTCAAATGTAAATTGAGGAATGAATGTTCTGCTAATCATCCGAGATGCGAATTTAAGATTTTCCTTCAGTACATAAAAGTGACAAACGTTGAAGTTATTTTTCGATGTAAAATCAATTCAAAGTGGCGTCCGTGTATTTTTACGCAAAACAGGAGAAATTCACAATACGGAGGCTGTAAAGGGTATTTAAATATACATTTCATTTTTACCAGAAGCATACCGCTTGTATCAGTACTATCCTAGTTGTTTATTTAGATATAGAAAATATTGCCAATGGATAAACAAAAAAAAATGATGCTAGTTAAAACAACTGACGCTCCTCTTATTTCTACGTGTGGAATAACTCTCATATTAGAGGTTTCTCAACATCTTACGAACGGACGAAACTCGACGAACGTATCGTTAGGGAGCTGTAATTTTATGCAGTAAAATTTTCTACCGATATTGCAGCGTGTTTAAAGACAACAGTAAACAATTTAATATTCATTTTGCAACCTTGTAATTTATTGCTGTGGTTAAACATTAGTGTTCCCATTGGTTTTGTGTTGTTGAATGTTGCGTAACCTTACGTTGAGTTTCGTTTATTTACATGTCGAATATACGTTCGATTTATCTCCCTTATTCATTTAAAAAGAATAATGTTTTTGATAGTCGTTGTTAAAAAAAAATCTGCGCATTTGGTTTGCATTTGACTGAATGATTGTTGGATGTTTTTTTATAAAACGTTCAGTGGCGAGTATTCCATGCATTTCACGACGATATTAACATCTGATAAAGGATTGAAAAGTGGTTGAGAGGACACAACCTTTATATTTAAATCTCCAACTCTGGACTTAAAGTCATATGAAAACCTCAAATTAAAAAAAAATTATGCATATGTTTTTATTACTAAATGGATAGTTTTCATTATAAAACTTGTGAACATAAACTTTTTTCTGAAGAAATTTTTTAAAATTGTCCATATTTAGAAGAAGTTTACTTTTTTTTTAATTGCTTGCTTCCAGGAAGCAATTCGCCGACATATTTTCCATATGCAAGTGACCTTAGCGTGACCCTCCTCGTAAAATTCCGGTGATCGCAATACGCATGGATCTGCCATTAAAATGAACTATTATCTGATTTTACATGTTATACACGTGCTCAATATCCATGCGTCTTTTTTGATTGTTTACTATAAGGTTACAATCGGTAAACTACGGCTTCAAAACACGACAATTAAGTAGCTGCCATATTTTCACATCATAACAGACAGAGAGAAAAAAAATTGACGATTATACGATATGTTTGCGTAAATTATGATAAAATCGTGTACAGAAGACTAAGTTTATGATATATACATGCATTGGTTCAAGAATTGGATAAACATTATTTTTCACCAGTCTCTCGTTTCATATGACTTTAACATCTCTAGCGCTCGACTTTAGATCTACAGCGCTAGACTTTACACCCCAGCGCGCTGGACTTTAAAAACCACAACTCTATAACTGCGTGAGACCAGCAGATCACTGTATTATAGAGATGTTTTGCGTGGATTTATAGGCCACACAGACTAATATATCAGCAGTGCATATGGCCTTAGCTAGTTCTTATAGTTCAAACAAAGTAGACTAATCTTTTCCTATCCTTAATAATTGTTGACAAATAATAAAGATTGAATTTTGAAAGTCACAGAGAAATGAAATTTGGTTACTTCATAAACAAATCAAAGGTGGCAAGAAAGGTCTAACACAAAAACTCGTTAACCATAACCCATTTTTCATATATTTTGATTAATATTAATACATGTATAAGTATAAAACAACTTCGATAAATATATATACATATTGAATAAAAACGCATAAAGAGATAAGATGTGGTTTAAAACAGTTTAATTTCTTCATTTATCTCCACATTTATTCGATAGTATTCAATAATAAATATTTGGAACCACTCCTAACAGCAAGAACAGGCGGTATTTTTTATGTATCTTTGATATAAATGTCGTTAAAACCGCTATTTATTTATATGTATTCTAAAAGTTTTTTGGGGGAGTCAGTTATATTGTAAGTAATATATAATAAGTATAGTGGTGTGTATTCTAATGGAAAGTATGAGTGCTACAGCACCAACAGAACTGATTGTAATATAGATATTAAAATGTACATTGAAACAACTTAATTTATACTAATATACTAATAAGTGTACGATAATAAAAACATAGACAAAACGGATAAGAAAGGCCTTGAAAATAAAACAAAAATCAACAATACATTACAGAATATCTTTTCAAGTGAACTTTTTTTTCTCAAATATCTATTTCAGTATTTCCCTTTTTTCATTTTCTTGCCAATTTAGGTAGAAAATAGTTCAATAATAATTATGTAAGGTGAAGAACAGACCATTTGGATTTTATAGTTTTGAGGCAACAAAGTTATCTCGGACCAAAGGATTTTTTTTTTTTCAAATTAAAAACCAATTTTTTTCTAGAGTCGTTTACTCCTAGATTACATTTACCTCTTTTATGCGCAGGACTTTTTACCTTTGATCTGAGCCTAGATAAATTTCAAAAATATTCATTGCCCCTCCAATCTCAACAAAAAAGGACACTAAGTCACTAAGTACACATCAGAGAGAACTCGCATTCAATATAATAATATGTCCACAACTCAAAGTGGTTTAAAAGAACCCTGCATGCATATCTTAATGAAAGGAAGTGCACATCCGATAGTCCAAAATCAGTCAATAAATGAGTGCTCCCTCTTTTCTCGTTACGGCAAGTTACGTCAAGTTAAGGTGATTTTCGTCCGTTCGTAAGATGTTGAGAAACCTCTAATAACAGGTATCTAGAACTAACTTTGTCATGTATTTCCTCTTATTTACAGGAAACGGAAACCGATATCATTTTACCACAATGAAACGGGCATTTTAAAAAAAGGAGATGGGTAAACTACTTATTAATAATTTACTTATTATAAAATGCATTCAGTCCGTGAAAAGAGGCCTTCAGTTGTTTAAAAAGCGGTGGGTTTGAAATAACAATGATGAAAATATTTTGCACAACAATATTGAGCGTGTTCAGATTACAAACAAATATTAGTATGATTGTCTTTGGGAAAACTATCATGCATAATGACAGTACTTCAGCAATGGAAGCAGGTGTATATTTCGAAATGAGGATAAAAAGCACACGCTTTCCTGAAAGTCAAGGTGTTTACGTATATTTATCCCATTTTCGCAGCCCTCCGTTTTAAACAAAACAAACATACCATATTTAACCAGTGACCTTATACTCTCCATTTTTGAAATTCTGAATCCGCCACTGCGAAGTATCATTCAAAATCAGATATAAAAAGTAACGAGAATAGTTGATAATATAAAATTAAATAGATGTTTGACATCAAACATCTGAGGACCTCTTCCACCAATGTTTTACCCAAAAAATTACTTTGGAAAATCTTAAGGCCTCAGTGTTAAAGCTCAAAAATTGCATTTTGGTTATTGCTGTTTCTTGTTGAATATATTACTATAAATATACTATATCAACTGCCATTTCCCTTTCATTTTGACCAAACTTTACCAGCTGCATTCCATAGAATATGTTTTAATACTCTAAGTTCCTAGTGGTCAATAAGAGGGGCGAAAGATACCAAAAGTGCAAGCAAGCTCACAAGTCGAATACGAACTGACAATGCAGTAGCAAAAAACGAAAAACGACCAAAAGCCAAACAACAGTATACAAAACACAAAATAGAAAACTAGACTGAGCGAGACGAACTAACCAAAAACCGGAGGTGATTACGGGTGCCCCGGAAGAATAAGCAGATCCTGCTCAACATGTGGCACCCATCGTGCATGTAAGTACAAACCCGGTTCAAAGTCTTATTTGGTCACATTCGAGGAAAAGAGGACGGGGTTGTGGTAATTGGAAAATATACGTCATCATTTGTGAAACAGATATTTCATGACGATCAACCAACTAGGGATGACGTCACTATAATTTCCCAAGGAATTATTTCAACTTGATCACATTGATATCTTGATTCAAAAGCTTCTTTTCAAGACATCATGATTGGAAATGCAAGTTCTTGAATATCGTATTAACTGGCAGATATATACTCCACATGCAGGTGCTGCTGGAATATTGCTATATAGAAATGGAAAATTTACAATCGGAAGCTGAAAACATCTCTTTTGTCGTAATGCATTGTTCTCAACCGACCTTCACTGTAAATTTCTAGATGTAGGTCAAGATATGTTATTCAAAGTGTGTATATATCAAAGCTTATTCAGATGACTTCTTAATGATACATATCAATATCAACTAAGTAAACAAATTATTTGCTTTGTTATATTTTCAGGCGAAAGCAAATAGCTACCTTTGAAAGGAAGATATCAAGAATTTTTAACGTAACAGAAAATGTAACAATATGCTGCCCAGGATTCCACAAAAATGACAAAGGAACATGTGAACGTAATTTATCATTTAAACATTATCATGTGTAAACGCATTGGATACGGATATAAATGATTACATTCCTATATTTGAAGGCTCCAAGCCTAACTATCAATATTAAAATAAGCAGAAAGATATGATTGCCAATGAGATTTCTCAATATGACATATATGATAATTACAAATTTCAAAAGTAGACATTGAACCCTGCTTATGCATTGTCTGTAAATAGGGACATAATACACTAATTGACCATAGCACAATAACACAATGGCGGGATGTATAAGTACCGAGCCATGCCTAAAGTATATTACCAAAAACGGACTAAACAGTAAAGGTTAAAAATGTACAAGGACAAATAGAAAGAACACTATAACACGTAATTAAGATGACAAACAACGTCAGTGCCTAGAATCTATACTTCAAGACCACCATATATTATATGTGAAGTTGATACGGAATATTTATCAACAAGGATACCGTATAATAAGCTTTAAAAGGCACAAACATAACAAAATGTAAAACAATTAAAAATAGAAAATCCACTGCCTGATTTATGCTAAAACCAAAACATAAGTTTGACTCTGGCATACTTAGAAATATTATACAGCACAACTTCCGCTCAGAAAGATATTTGAACAGGAAGTATATGGGCCATGTTAAAACAAATGTCGAATTGTCAGTACACCTATGCTAACTTTTTTTAATTTTATTGGAAAATGCAGTTTTAGGTGTTTAAATGAAAGTTTGTAGGATTCATGAGTCGAAACATCAACAATAACTACGACTTAGATCTATTTTGATAAGATCAAAATATATTTAAGTCCGATTTTTGCGTAATTTATGTGCGTACATGTCACTTGGAATTCATAATATTCTGATGGTTTTTTAGTTCTCCACATATTTCTTTGTTTGCACATGAAATGACGGTTCCGTTAAGGTATAAACCACTTATTCATAATTTCCATGTTAAAATCTGCAATTTCAAGCGTTCATAATTATTTTCACTTTAGTTTAATAACTAAATTAATGTCAACACTATTCCTTATCCTGGTTTGTGCTGAAAATTCAACTTACCGTTAATTGCTTATTAGAGCGAACTGGTTCCTGAAAGTTTGGTAGTACAAAACAGGGACTTCTTATCTGAGCAACAGGGCAAATATGCCCTTCTATTTTAATTTTATATCTATTTTATACTTTTCAATTTTCATCAAGTTTTCTGCAGTGATCCCAATTCCTTTATAAGCTTTCATATGATACCAAAATTATCAAAATATTTATTTTTTTACAAAGTTATAGCAATGCATAGGAACTATTTGAATTAAAATATGTACTACTTTCTTGTATGTTCTTTCTGACCAGCTCAAGTTAGTGGTTCTTTATCTTAACAAGGTATATTACCTTAAAATTTAGATTCAGAAATGTATATCAGTCAAATTTTCTTGAGTAAAACTGTTGCTCTGATTCAATTTTATCGAAAGTCAGGAATATGACAGTGGTTTTCCATTCATTTGATGTGTTTGAGCTTTTGATTTTGCCATTTGATAAGAGACTTTCCGTTTTGAATTTTCCTTGGAGTTCGGTATTTTTGTTATTTTACTTTCTATACATAATATGATCATATGTGGTATTATAAAAGATAATTTAAGTCACAGTGACAAATCAAATAAATTGTCAACACTCAAATTATCAGCCTTAATTTCAAAATCATTTATAAATAAAGATTCAATCACTGAGGGAAAGTTTGCTAACTAATAATATCATTTGTATCGTAAGGTATAACAATTCGAATACCAGTAGTTGGAGGAATGACGGAGAAGTAAAGAAGACGTCATTCTTCTAATGTACATCTGCAGATTCTTAAATTTCAATCTACATTTCATCATTCAATGGTGTGCAGTCGTAAAACAAGCTTTTTATGATAATATTAACGATACCAATTTTATTGCACCAGATGCACATTTCGACAATTTATGTCTCTTCAGTGATGATCGAGGCCACATTATTTGAAAATCTAAAAACTAATACAAACGTTGGAGAGCTGATATAACCAAAAGGGCCAAAACATAGACATAATCCTCGATTTAATAGTTATACTTAAATATCAGGAAGAATTTTATTGTGTATTGATATTAATTTCCCAGCTGACAACAATCAACCCATTATCGATACGGATATCCTTTGCATTTTTTTTTTTGCAAGTGCACATATCTGTTTCTCGAATATTTGTACCATTTCATGAAAAAAACGTTATTCCATAACGGATGTCCTTACCATTGTTCACATAACAAATAAATACATTTCCTGGATGTTTCGGTATTTCCACTAAAACAATCGTGATAGAAAGCCTTTGTGTATTGTAAATAATTGTTTGGTAATTCTTGATTGATGCTATCTAGGTCAACCGCTAGGATGTGTGTTTAGCACATTCTAAAATAATAATGGAATTGCACATAATTTACGTGACATTTTGTAATAGAAAAGTTTGAAAGGTCTGTAAAAAATACTTTTGTTAATTAAAAACAATACATACTTACGATAAAGTTGCATTTTGGCACGAAACACACAAGATCACAGCAAATGAGTATTTCTACAAGTATTTATTTGAATGTACAAACATACCTGATAAAGACATTCCAGAACCAAGTGTCATGCTCATTAAAATCTGCATGTTACATTGATATATTGCAATACCATTATATAATAGTCTTAACGAAAATAACACGTAACAAAATTCGTGCGTTTGAAGCGCTTTTCTGTTTTTATCTTTATCAAGAACGGTAATACCTAAACATTTGAGTCAGGATTGTTTAAATACGTAGAAATGATGGGAGCTTTATGTCCATAAAGGACCTAAAACTGAATACCAAATTCTTCTAACAGATTCTCAAACATTATGATATCAATAATATATATAAATGAGTATATGTCTCATATCATACTGTAAAAAATCATCAAATGCACTAGGCTTATAATTTGGTACGAAAGACGCCGCGAGATTCGTCTCTACAAGACTCGTCAGTTTGTTAACCCTTTGAAAACCTATGGCATCGCCCGTATATGATAGATTATTCAAGAAACATGTGTCGTGTACAAAGAAAATAAATATCTCTTTTTATAGCTATTATTAATTGCAACTAAACTACAAACATGCAAGGACACGTGTACTCTGGTAAAATAGAAAAGCATGATTGGCATTAAGGATGTTCGCTACTCTGTTTCAAAATAACAAGCTTTTTAAAAGACTGTTATAAATTGATAGTATATAAATAAAGGAACTAAAAAAGCAGAAAAAAAGGGTCCGTGTGCTTGTTTTCGAGATATAAGCCATTGAAAATTTGGCGGGAAATAATTCTCTCTAGCCTTTTCATACATTTAACATTGGCAACCTTTTTCTTTAAAAAAATGAAAAAATAACAAGGGTTTTATAGCATTTTCGAATATGGCTTTTTTTACTATATGTAATAAAATTATGAAAAAAAAAGTAGGGGTTAGCGGGGAAAATTTTTTAATGGCAGTACATGGATAAAAACAGAGGATTCCGAATATCTGGCAAAAATTCAAAAGCAAGAGGTGCGAACATCCTTAAATAATTTTAAAGTTACTTTTTATAATTCTCTTTATAATATTTGTATCTATAGAGTGTCCAGAATTTACTTATGGTTTGAACTGTTCAAATAAATGTAGATGTCTTTCGTCTGAACATTGTAATCACACAACTGGAGAATGTAAAAAGTGCAATGAAAATCCAGCTGGGACCAGATGTGACGAAGAAACAAGCAGTGGAACATCGGAAACTAGAACAGGTATTCATATAAAAATAAAGAAGTGGAAAGTTGACAATGTCAACAGATACTCTACGTACCACACTTTTATTAAGAGATGGTCTGTTCTGTATGACAAGAGTTCGAAATACTAGTATGGTTGGAGAGACAAAATAAAACATGTACTATTATTGCTAGTTATATATCTTTATAAATGTTTTACAATCCATTATGGGATACTTGAGTCATTGTTCAAACACGTGACTAAGCAAGGAATATATGATGTAGGGAGTATAAAATTTCAGGTATCTAGAAATAAAAATTGTTATCATACTTGCTTCAGACCCCCTGTACAGAAAAAATATGTCTGATGCACCGCTTTGTTTAAATTGAGCATGGTTACCAGCGAGTGATGTATGCAAAACAAGAGACGCGTACCCTGTCAACGCAATCAGTCTCATTTCTGATGGAGATCATGCGATTCCTTCCGGTCTTGTTTCACCTTGATTTGTATATGTTCTGAATTGGTTTATAAGATTTGAACAACGGTAAACTATTGTTACCTTTAATGTTATAAGTTTTTTGCATGCCCATTTAGATTTATTATAAGAGGGGGTGGTGAAACTAAAACAAACATAAATATAGTTCCGTCAAGGTTCACCAAACGGTCATCTTGCTACATACACAATACCAGTATTTATTTGACCATATTAATTTGCAGTGAGCATGATAAAGAATGCATAATTGTCAGTGGGGTATTGTATACGCAAAAACAAAATGATAACATGATCACATACTACCTCAAATTGATGCAGGTTATGTTATTGAGAGAGGTGAAGATGTGTTAAATATAATATCATTGATAATAATTAAAATAAATAAAGTTTTGTTTTATTATTTTGTACATGTAGGAGTCAAATTCATGAAATATATTTTCGTTACTCATTCCGATTTTTCTTATTATAGAGTCATCGTCGATCTTTACAATTGTTTCACATACCACACTCTTCCATCGACAAAAAATGATAACGAAATCTTCACCAAATACCAAACAAATCGATGTGAGCGTATTCTCAACTGCAGAAGAAAGTAAACAGGATCCAAAAAAAGCATTACAGCGTGGTAATATAAATATTGAATTATATCCATAATCAGTGACATTTAAATTCGAAAAAGAATCACTTTACGATTATACCTAAATTTCAAAATGTAACAACATTGTCAAATATCAATTGATAAGCATTACAAATTTAAGTTACCTTAATTGTTTTTTTAACATTATTACTCTTTACTGTCAAATCAGTTATTTCGTTATTTGGCTGGGTATCAATTAAAGTGAATTTAGAAAAAAAACTTCATTTTCTTTAATATTTTTGTGACATTGAAAATTCTGCATTTGAGTCTAAGGGAAAATTATTTTCCTTAAACACTTAAATCCCTGTTATCCTATACCCACGAATGTCATAAAAATAAGTATCATTGAAACCACAGTATGTTTTTTTTTATTTGTGCTCCTACATGTTTCGTTTTTGTCCCATGTTTCATTTTGGAACGTCGTATTTTAAAACGTTCGTTATTTTTTTTCAATAATCAAAGAATAAGATTGTTCATTTAACTACAAAGTGTTTATTTTGTAGGCGTTGTTTCTACACCAATTGTTACAATATCAGTTGTCATATCAGTCCTTGTGATGATCATCGTCCTTGCTTTATTAGTGAAAAGGTTTGTTAAACAGAATATTAAAAATGTTTTAGATATTATTTTATTTAAATGTCTTTGAAATCATCTTTCATTAACCTAGTCATATAATGTCTCTCAAAATATCGATTGGACTAAAACCACTATAAATGAGTGTCTTGTCTTGTGTTTTACCTATTATGTGTCGAGTTGGCATCCATAAGTAAAACATTGTACATATGGTATGAATATTTAGCAAACTCCACCCTGTAAGAATATATAGAAATAACAGAATCAGAATTTAAAAAGAAACAAATGCCATAGTAAAGACTTTAAACTCTTACAGCATAAAATGAATCTATAAATGTATATAGTGACTAGCTGATTGAAAATTAACAAACGTACCCGTTGAATATTTATATCTAAACGTATGACAGCATGTACAATAGTTGTAATGACAATATGTGACATAAAAAGATGTGATATGTTTGCCGATGAGACAACAGAGTCCAAATGAAGTGTCTTAAAAAAGTAATTAGATTTTGTATGATTGCCAATGAGACAACACTCCACCAGAGACCAAATGACATAGAAGTTAACAACTGTAGGTCACCGTGTGGTCTTCAACAATGAACAAAACCCATACCTCATAGTCAGCTGTCAAAGGCACCGAACCGACAAAATTTATATAAAACAATTTAGTTCACCGTACGACCTTTAACAATGAGCAAACCCCATAATTTAGTCGGCTATAAAAGACCCCGACATATCAAAATATGAAACAATTCAAACGAGAAAAAAAAAAAGATTGATGATGAAACAATAAACGAAAACAAAAGATGACAAATAGTAACCAACGGCAATCACTGAATTACACTATCCTTGTTTAGAACGCGTATGAAATAAGATCTTAACATATAATCGCCTTATAAACACTAAAGAAAATGTATAAAGTTTGAAAATAATCATTGCTTACTAGCATTCAATATATTCTTTTTAATATGCTACTATTATTAGATACTAGTATGTTTTGGTGCATTCGATATTCTTATCACCGGGTTTGTGATAACATGAGCAACACGACGGGTGCCACGTGTAGAGCAGGATCTGCTTATCATTCCGGAGCACCTAAGATGACCCCCAGTTTTTTGGTCGGGTTCGTGTTGCTCAGTCTTTAGTTTTCACTGTGGTGTTTTATGTACTGTGTTTGTCTTTTGGTCTTTTTCTTTTTTTGCCATGGCGTTATCAGTTTATTTTCGACTTATGAGTTTGAATCCCATTTGGTATCTTTCGCCTGTGTTTTTCAGGTATCATGGTAGATATAATGTCAAGAAACGTGGAACCACAGGTAAATAGTTAGTGTGTTTCAATTATCCAAGATAGTGATCTTGCAGCTACCATTACTTTATTTTCATATTACATGTAGTACATGTTGACATTTTCGTCCCCGACAGGAATATTTTTTAAACAAATACACTTGATAAAGCAAACACTTCAGTCCTTCTTATTTCGCTCATAACAGTAGCATTTAACTGGTTTTTTACTTTAAACATACAATTGATATAGATTCAATTTCTCGATTCATCTAATCCGACATTTTTAAACCCTTGAAAGAAACATTCTGAATGTTCGAAACGTTTGGAAAGACTACAATTTTAATTTAGAAATTCATCTCTTTTGATTACCTGGTAAAATCTGTATGTATGGTGTATAATTACGGAACGTTGTAAAGGTCCCAATGGTAGCGATCTCGCGGGTGGTATGCCGATCGTCATGGAAACTTGTACACCTCGCTCTAAATTCGTCAACTTGAATGGACGAATCAAGAAACTGATTGAATTGTGTAAATGTAGAACAGAAGAATTGAAACAATGCATATATGAATATCTTAAAAAAATATGAAAACGCCGAAGTACAGCCGAAAAATATTAGATAGAAAAAAACAACTACAAAAATAACACCATGGAGACATAAAAGAAGATGTGGTATGATTGCCAATGAGACAACTCTCCACAAGAGACCAAATGACACACAAATTAACAATTATACTAGTAGGTCATCGTACAGCCTTCAACAATGAGCAAAGCACAAACCGCAAAGTCAGCTATAAAAGGCCCCGGAATGACAAATGTGAAACAATCCAAACGAGAAAACTAACGGCCTAATTTATGTACAAAATAATGAATGAAAAACAAATATGTTACACAGCAACAAAAGACAACTACTGAATTACAGGCTCCTGACTTGGTACTGGCACATACAGAATGTGGCGAGGTTAAGCTCGTTTATTGGCGCCAAACTCTCCGCCTAACCTGGGACAGTGGTGTATCGGCACAACATAAAAACTAATGCAAAACAATAAACAAAAATAAAACAAATATGAGAAACAGCAAAAAACGACAACCACTAAATTACATGCATTTGTAAACGATATATTAAACTAAAAACTGAAACCTCAGACAAAATAAACACGTAGAAAATTTAAAAAACTTATACAATATCAGACTTAAATACTATCTTATTGGCAATGATATTTTTAGAATCAGTTCACAAGTTGATGAGTGAGAGCAGCCATACAATGAATGAAAGCCACGAATTAACTCAAGTTAATACCAGTGAAGAAATACTGAGGGGTGATAGTTTTGGTTACAAAGACGTGGATGGTAATAGGGTTTACGTTAGCATGTACAATGCAATGAATGTCGGTGTTCGTCACGAAGACTCAGAATTGGAAGGAAAGAGCAAAGATCTACAATACATTAGCATGCATTTACAGTATTTAACTGAAAGCATGCGACAATCTGTTCCAAATGACCATGAAACTGTAGAATCTAAATGAGATTATGTGTTCACAAATGACGCATTTGTCGGACAACATGTAGTTATTTCAAAGATCTAAATTGTGCAGATCCACAAGCAATTATTTTATTCAAATTTTCTGCATACTGTAAGCAGAACTGTTAATTGAAACATAATTGTTATTTTTGTGTGTACATTGATATGCACTCTATAAAAAACACATCCATTCAAATTGAACTTGACGATAAAGTACGTTTCTAACTCACTCAGGAATTTACGAAACTTAGTTTCTAAATCACTTAGGCAAAAATTACTTGGTTATTCCTTTAAACTCAAATAACAGGTAATTTTACTTCAAAGCTAAGAACGCATCATTTTTGGGATACAAAGCTTAAGCACGGAATCAATAGTTAAAATAATATTTGTTCAGAAAAACTAATTTTTATTTTTGAACGCATTCTTTATATCAAATAAAAAAAAGATTCTTTCAATTATGCATGAATGGCAATCAAAACCATTTTTGAAGAGTTAAAACACAATTTGATGATCAGATTATTCTTGTTCTTTGTCAAAATCCAAACTACATCAAATAGTTTAAACGACTGGTGCCACATGTGGAGCAGGATCTGCTTTCACTTCCGGAGCACCTCAGATCACCCCCAGTTTTTGGTGGGGTTCGTATTTAAATTTTTTCATCTTTTGTGAATGTGATGTTATTGGCAGATCTATGACTTTCTCTGCTCAATTACTTCACTGACGATTTTATACATTTTGACATAAGCAATAAACGTGCACTTTTCTACTGTTGAGGCCGTATGTTGATCTTAAGATGGTTGTTTGATTTTTGATACATCTGGTCACTAGTTTTTGAATTTATAACATATATGCAAAATAATACTGTGTCACGTGCATGATGTATGGATGAAATCTCAGAAGTTTTAATTAATTTTGCTTAATACATTTGTAAAAATTGTATAAAAAATGTTTTAGTCTAATCTCAATGTAAATATAACTTTTTGTTTATTTGTTTTTTGATGTCAAACACAAACAGAAGCAAAAAATATTAACAAAAAAACCGAAATCTGACAAAATCAAACGCTCGACTATATCAACCAACGGAAAAATGGAAAACAACTGAAATATTCCTGACTTGTCAAACACAAAAAAGTAGCACAACTGTACAACCTGGCGGATATCCGTACTTCTATTTATTCTCCTACAGAACAAGATTTATTAGTTGATTGATTGATTGATAAATGTTTAACATTTCGTGCCAATTATTTTATGCACATGAAGGTCAATAGGCAAGATAGGAAGACTTGAATAAGGGGAGGGAAATTCAGACGGTCCCTGGAAACGGAAATGAGTAATACTAAATGTTGTACATATTTTAAAGAGGTAGATATTTTGCAACGCCGTATGCGAACTGCGGGCCCCTTGGAGAGTGGTTGCAATTGTTCTTTTACGTGTAGAGGGCGTGGCACTCTCCCTACAGGAGTATTCGGATTGAATATTCCCGTTCCGATCGGATGTGGATGCAAGTTTGTACATCCTGCACAGACACAGACGCCTCACTTTTGCAAGGGTTTTAGTAATAATACTATCGGAGTGGGAGAAGTCCACGAATTACTATATTTCTATACTATGGTCAAACCTGTGTTGCAAAACAAAAATTGACGAAAGAAGGAAAATATTAAGGGGTTATCAAATATAATAATTCGAAGACATACAGACGAAAACAAAACTACAATTTATTATACACAACACAGAAAAAAAGAACCGATTGGCAACCAAAAAGGTGAACTCAGTAAATAAAAACAATGCTTGCTACACTTGTGACACATCGTGTGTTGGTTAGACAAGTAAAAACCAGTGATAAATCTGATTTTGACTTGTCATACCGAGCACAGAAGGATAAGATATGTAACACAGCCAAATGGGCGCCCTTTTTTAGAATGTGATTGACTGTTGGATGGAAAACGACCAGTGATCACTATTGTGTGTACCCCAGTTAGCCTAGTTGTTTACAATTTGAAATACTAACGTCTAAATGGTTCAGAGGTGAAGTGTTTGATACTACTATATATGGAGATAAATCGTAAATGTCCACTGGGATGAAAGGCAAGAAATTCAGACTGTCCCTAGAAAAGTTATGTTGGATAGACGTGGAAATATTGTTTTTAACAGGCCACCTACGAACCCTCAAAAGAGCTGTTGAAATGATTCTTTGACATGCAAACAAAAGCGTGGTCCTCTCACTACACACAAGATGCATCATATTTATAGTCTTTATTAAGACTGGACGGAACTTCGTATTTATACATCCCGCACAGCCAAAAGGACGCGTTTCTTTAACATTTGTTTCATTGAAGAATTATATTAGTCGAAATACAAAGATGACCATATTTTTATAACCCATTCATCCATTCATCCATATTCTTTCCCTTTTCCAATCTCCTGACTGCACCTGTACAAATGTTCTTTTCGCGTATAATACAGCTGTTCGTGATATTTGTTTTTAGTGACTGCATCTTCCTTCACTGTATTGGACAACCACTTAACATGAGTGTCCTAACAAATAACGTAAAGTTCCATGTGAGCAAATTCTACACAAAACATCTTAACCGTTTTTATCTTCTATTCCTCTCTTTTCTTAAGAATAATTGGGCTTAAACGTTACTGTAATACAACCGCCTTTGTTCAAACACCCTAAGCAGTCTGTTAATAAATGTGAAAGTCTTTCTTTCAGGCATACCTGATGTATCAGTATTTCTGTTAATTTCTATCTCATTGTGATAGATGAAATGTACAAGTCATGTAGTATATCTTTAATTTTATATTCAAGTCTAAATTGAAAACAATGTTCAAACCTATGATTGCGTTGGATAAAATTGATATACGAAAGTAAATCGCCCACATGTGTTTAACGGAAGACGATTCTAAAAGAAAAGGCTAAAAACAAATTTTCATTTTTAAATATCATCTCAGGTGAGGTTCATACGAGCAAACAAATATTCCACAAAAAAAAACAGTACAAACCGGAATACCAAAAGTTTGTTCTAAAAATAAGGCGACAGCGTTCACTAAAGACGATTAAAAACTTCGCACAATATCTTCTGTTTATTGAATTCCGTTTTTACTCTTGACCCAAATGAGCAATAAGGAGCAATAACTTATATATTTTGGGTCCAGATTACACGGTCTTCGTCTAAGTAATAAAACAAAAGTTTATAGTAGCGTAAAAATGTATGAATTTAGAATTCTGTTGAAGATATAAAAGTTACATTTTAGAAGTTAAAGACGGACTAAAGGTTTAGGCAGAAAAAAACCGCCTTTAAAAACCTTAGTAAAAATGGCAGTACTGAATTCTCTGTGATATTGGCATAGTAACCCTACATAACGATGTGCATAAAACATGATTTTTTCCTCTAAATCCGTCCAAAATATAGCAGACAACAGCTATGATTCGGCTACTTCCTGTGAAATAAGAAAGCAATTTAAAAGTGTACAAGCGGCATTTAAAGGGTTAGACGAAGAAAAAAGCCTTTGGAATCTGTCCTGCTTTGTTATAACAGACCGAGGGGTTAAAGTCCCAGTAAGGCAATGTTACCATTGCTGCACTTATAAATTTTAACGAACAAATGATAATTTTAGGCTACGTTGAGTTGTATTCCTAAAACCAGATAACTTTGTATTATACATCTCTCTATATCTCGGTACATTTATCACAGCTTAATTGTCTTCTCCTTGAGATTTGTATTTAAGGTAGGTTTTTTTTATGACAATTGTCCTATCTGTTATATCACAGAATGAGACTTACATGTGTCATCTAATTTCTTTCTATTATCAACACAACGGGTGCCACATGTGGAGCAGGATCTGCTTATCGCACCATTTTAGCACCCGGTTATGATAGGGGTTGTGTTGCACATGCTCAGTCTTAAATTTCATATGTTGTGTTAGTTTTGTTGTCCTTATCGGAGTTTAAAATTTGCCATGTTGTTTTCTAGCTTTATCTTCGACTTGTGCATTTGGAATGCCCATGTGGTATCTTCGGCATTTTTTTCTATCTGTCATCATAATGTTCTCAAAATATGTACACGTAGTTAAATTATAGTTGAACACTTTAACAAAATGTCTATGTGTGAAATTAATGGATTAATTTTATGTCAATGACCACTTTACTGCATTGAATGAGGATTAAAATAATTGGATTGGTTCAATCTATAATATTAATACTAGGAGTATTTTGGTGGAATGAGGTCTTGACCGCTTAACAATAGTAAAGGTAAATATGATTTTGTGATCAAATCTAGACGAGTTGGTGATAAACACGCTTTGAAAAAACGGGGAGGGGGATTCATTGCATTATACTTGTTTGGTTGTGTTGTGTGTTTTATTATGCGTCTTTGAAAATAATAATAAAAAAATAGTATTAGGGTTCTCATTATCGAATAAGTCCAACAAACGAAAAATAAAGTTTCACGTTTAAAGTTGATGATGGGGAATATTTTGTTTGATTACCATAATGGCGATTATTAATTCATATAACTTCAGCGTACAAACTGATTATAGTTTTGATTTGGCATATTTGTGGTGCTTAAGTTTACGAAAAGATTGCCTTGACTATAGTTTTATGATTTCGTAATTCGAATCATTTAAATAGTTGGACGGATATAGTCAGTATAGCGTTTCTAGTGAATTTTCTGCCTTTATCCATATTAACAATCGGCTTCTACATGCCATTGTCATCAATATATATAGTTTACACAAATCAGCATCTTGTCACATTATAAAAGAGGACACGAAGTCATTTGATTTGACGAATTACACCTGGATGAAAGTTGTGTAAAAGCTGTCCTTTCAAACAGCACACACTAAATAGTAATATAACTACTACAGCGGGGGGATGGGGTACCGTTCCCGACTACCAAAAAAAAAGGTTCATTTGTTTGCATACTGCATGTCTAATAACGGTACCATTGTACACTTTGTATCCTGTACCATCTTACATGTGTTTGTCCTAATAGTTGTAGTTGCTACAAGGAGGTCTCAACATAGAATGTTGGGTACACGTAGACCTGCAGCAGGGATTTCATAAACGCTCCATTCACACACTGAAGTCTTGTGAAAATCACGACTTATATAAATATTTTATGGCAGAATCAAAACCCATTCATATCTCAGTTATCACATATTCAATCATTGACATCTTAATTTGTTTAGTATTAAGTTATTATCTAACTTTGTTAATTAAAGTTGTTTAACACATGCATGGATCACTAATATTAATTGGCCCATAAGGAGTGCTGTACAGTATATACCGGCATTATAACTTAAGATGAAAATTACTGGCCCATTGACATATTACCTTGTTAAGATTGCAACCCATCGAATCATTTAACATATTAAAAGAGACCCATGCCCATTCCAGTGGCACGTTTCTGTGTAAAAATTCACTACGAAGAGACCCCTACCCCCTGGGGCAAGAAAAGGTCACTTTTTTTCGGAACCTTGAATTCGGATATCAATATAAAAGTGATAAAAAGTTGACAAATTATAATTCTGAAGATATATATATATAAGATATTTGTCTGTCGGATATTAGTTTTTAAAATTTTGAATTTTTTCTTTAATGACAAGCAGTAAGATTTTCCTACTGTCAGACATAGAAAAAGATGACACAAGCTAGGTTTGAAATCCATTTCCTTTGAAATGCTTTTCATCTTTTTGTAGTTGATTTTGCTTTCCAACTGTTTTCATTTTAAAAGCGCCAGTAATGGTGTACTAAACTATCATAAGCCAGATATCTGATAAGTTGTCACAAAAATCCAATAAAAAAGATGTAAGTTTGGCAAAATGATCCAAAATCTTCCGACCTGGATGAACGGGCCTGGGAATTTCAACTGCAACTAAGAAATGAGGATTATACAAGTTGGATAGGGGCAGACATTTTGCCTTGCAACAGGCCACCGGGTGTCCCTACAAAAATTGAAAAAAAATGTCTTGTAAAGATATAATTAAGTGACGGTGATATCGCCGGATAGGTGTAATTATTTAATTGTATTACTTTTTTTATTTATTAAATCATATTTTCGCTCTCCAAAAATCTTTTTTTGTTTTAATTAGCAAAAAATGAGTTGCATCTCAACCTATCTTGCACCACCGGTCTCCCCCCCTTCCCACCCCAAAAATAAGGCAGAAAAAAAAACCTACACCCACTCACTCACACAACGTTGCCCTTACATGTATACCCACACAAGTATCCCACCGCCTTTTGATAAATGCACACTTAGCGAGAGAGTATAAAAAGTCAGGTTTGACGTCATTGATCATTTTCATCCTACCAAATACAAGATTAATTTTTGTGAATTTGTACAATTCAATTTCACACGTTTCACTCTTAAACTTCCTCATTCTATATTTCCGTTACTGACATTACACAGGAAAAAACAATCAAATGATTCATATGTCGGTACAAGCAATACCCTATCGGCAAACCGAGTACTTTTCACCACACTTGACTTTTGAAATTTAATATGAAAAGCACTCGAGCGTTTTGTTCTATATTTAGAAAGTTTTAACTTCCTTACATGGCGAACTATCAAATGATTATATTGTAAACGAGGAATTTATTATTTCAAAGGGTAAGATAAATGTTTATAATAATGATCCATTGTATGTGTAAGTTGAAACAGATCATATTATTTTATATGATGAAGTCAATGTTCAGTATTTCAATTGTTTAATGACACATTTAACTATTTTACCTGTATTATTATTCAAGGTGTGTAAATGATATCATAATTACACATAAATTACTCACTCTTTTTTCGAAAGATTAAAACTGATCACAAAAACAAATGATTGTCTCTCGTTATTTTACACGAACGGCCTTTACCACATGCAGTTGAACATTTCAATATAAATGTTGTTGTTTTTTATTTGATTGTAAACGTCGAGACGCAAATAAATTAATATGCTATTGTATTGCCAACCAACAGTACTGACAAATAGTATCATAATATTTATATTAAATTGTTAAAAAAGCAAAATGGCTTGTTCCTTTAAAAACAAGGAGTTCCGATGAGGGGAAATGTTTGTAGTTATTAGCTTGTATATGACTTTCGAGAACACCTACGCACAAATCGATATATTACACAATACATGCTTAATCATATTTAAAGACGATAAAATTCCATAAACTGATAGTATTTGGTTAATCGTAGAGTGAACCTTAGGGTCAGCCAATAAAAGAGATTTAGGAATGCCTCTTTTATCCGACAGAAGTCCGTAAACATGATGCATGCGTACGGAAACAACGACTTACGTGTATAACATAATATATAAGAAACACAAGTTATACAAATGTAGGTTCACCCGAATTCTACACGTAATTATTGGCAATTTGCTATTATATGGAAGAAGATGGAAAATGCCACGGATGATACTAGAAGCCTTCAAAATCTATTAAAACAATTATCTTTCTTCTAAAAAAGAAACCACCAGCCCAAACCCGTAAAATCCAATATTTGCCTCCTTCCCATAAGTCATAGAAAAAATAAGAAGAAAGTAACTGAATTTCCTGTTGAAATTAGTGTCAACAATTTATGCACGTATTTTCATTAAAGCTTAGAACTATTTCTTCTTCCAACATTTTTAGATGAAGCGTTCATTACTGTCAAAGTCCTGAAAAGATTTCAGATTTGAAGAGGAAACCTATCTAGAAAATTTTAATACACCACCAGTCAAAATTAATAGCCTGTTACATAATTTTCAACTTTTTGATTTTAAGAACAAAGTTTGTATTATTGAAAAGCAACATAATATTTCCCACAGAACTTAACGAATAGTTAGCGTGCAATATCATACACTAATTTACCGTCTATACTAGTATATGAGGACAAAAAGCAAGTGTATTGTCCCACGACATATCAACTATACCCCGATTTTTAGATGAGTGAAATACTGGGTTTGGAGGGGACAATAAACTTGAAATTGTCCAAATAACCTGTAAATAAGTATTTCATTATCTCGTTAAAGCAATACTTTTGGAAACTATCAACCCGCGGTAAATAGCCTTTTACGGGGAAATGCTTGATTACAGTAAATAGTTCATACTGAGTGAAAAGGTTTTGAAATTATTGACCAGTACATAGTCTTTTTCAGACAATTTCGTAAAAAAGCAAAGTTATTTGTTTGGAAATTTATACAGAAAATACAAACTGAGGTATAAAATATAATGCACGCGAACTTTTCGTTCTTATGTTTTGCGGGAAATATGTTGCTATTCAATAATACAAATTGTGTGCTGAAAAAAATAACAAACGGTAAATAACATAATCTATAAATATAAACAAATGAGAACAACCACCGTCAAAATAAATGAAACGTATTGAATGGGAATTATTATGGCACCTTATATGTATGAATACATTCACCATTACGAGTATGTTGTGTCAATATATTGATTAGTGTCTTGAACAAGGGAGCCTTTGTAATTAAATAGATTTGCTAATTATTACACTTGTCAGCGGTAATATTAAATTATTGGGAGTTTACTGCCTTACAATCACACATTGGCATAAATGACATTTTCTGTAATTGCCACATGGGTTCCTATAAATCATTCCATGACTATTATTAAATGTACAGGAAAATATGCAACCTATTTGATTTTTTGACTTTCTGAATGTGAATGTATTTGTTTTAGATTCGTGGAATTCTTCATGCATGTGATGCTTCATACTACAAACATATTTTGTACGTGTACCCTGATATTGTGTATTGCCAATTTGGGAGTATCAACAGATACACAAGGAACAGGGATAGTTTACACATCGGAGAAACGTATATGTCAAAATATAACATGGTAATATGACTTTCTTCATTTTCGAATCGATTGATACATTTTGTAACTATTTGTAAAAAATAATTCTTGTATTTATTGATTTTCATGCAGTCCAAGGAGACATTTCATTTCAAAATCATAAAAAGAGGTTTAAGAAAACACAAAATATACATGTACTTGTACGTACCGTTTAAATTATCGACTTGAACTTTGGATTCATGTAGTAAATATTGCCTTCTATTGTAATCTATATAATGTGGAGGAAGCCGGAGTGCCAGGAAAGAACAAACGACCTTCGACAGGAAAACTTGCAATCCTAGTCAATAATGACCGGAGTCGAATACATCTGCCACGTGCGGGGCTCCAACTCACAACTTCAGTGTTGACATGCTAGTGATCGCTTTAGATGAACTTATTAGACCATTAAGCAACAGAGTCCCCAGAATGGAATATTTCATTTAAAGTAATCATTATTAGTATTTTGTCATTTTGAGCATGATTATCGCATTCACATAAAGGATCCTTACCACTCAGTCGGGGGTCTCGTGGTAGCATGCTTGCCTTGTGTACGGGAAGTCGTGTGTCGATCCCGACCGGGTCATCCAATGACTAAAATTGCTATCGCTATTATTGTATTTGCTGCATAGAGCAGATAAGTATAACTTGGCTTTCACATTGTTGCGTAAACCCTTTCTTGAAGATGACTTTCTATATAGTCAAAGTTCACGCGTGCATTGTTCTTGTAACGCAGACGATTTTATTCTTCCTCTCTCTACCTCTTAGTATATGTCTAATGTTATTCATCTGGTCGATATTACACGGGGAACCAGCCTATCACATGTACATTGTAATAATTGTATCTATCACAAGTCAGGCACCTCTTCAGTGATGTTCTTAATTTAAGCTTTATGTTAGTTCCATGAAAGAATTTTCATGTTGAAAAGTCATATGGTTTGTCTGTGTCTGAAGTTATTCACAATTTAGCAGAACTTGGGCGAATTATAATAATAATTCGCTTGACATGCACTACAAAAGTCTAAAAGTCTGAAAAGACCAGTTTTTGTTATAATTTGCATGAACTTTTACTCGACATTCTCCAAAAGTATGACTTGTGTCTTTATTTTTCTTGACAAATTCTCATTTATATTAAAGAGGTAGGGCCATTTTCCCTTGAGTTTTTTTTTCATTTGATTAGCTAGGTAAATCATGTTTTTAAATAGCCCGATAGATACTAATTATAGTATATGAAAACACGTCACATCATCTATTTTCATACTTTGAACAGGTAGTCCTACAATAATCAAGGCCAAGACTATTGATTTTTTTTTGTTTATCTAAACCAATATTGATTTTGTTTGTAAATGCCCCTGAGGAGCAATAAAATATGAATTATCAACTAATAGATATTCAAAATTAGTTTTGTATTAAAAAACGTGGTGCTTCAGTTAGCGTGTTAATGTTGGTAGGTGATTTGTAGCGTACAGTCACGTATTTCACAGCTTTGTTTAACTTAAAACTAACAAAATATTAAACAAGAATGTGTCCATAGTACACGGATGCCCCACTATGTTCAGTGAACTATGAAATTGGGATAAAAACTGTAATTTAGCATTAAAATGAGAAAGATCATATCATAGGGATCATGTGTACTAAGTTTCAAGTTGGTTGGACTTCCACTTCATCAAAAACTAACTTGACCAAAAACTTTAACCTCAAATGGGACAGACGGACGAACGAAGGGACGGACGGATGAACGAACGAACAGACGCACAGACCGAAAAACTGAATTCCCCTAAGTGGCGCCTAAAAAAGGGGGTTAAATATAAATACAAGAAACATTTAATAATCTAATTATCTGATATAAATCAGCTAATCTAATTCAAGATCGGTCTCTGTTTTAATGCCAAGAAGCCAAAAAATATCGGACGCATTTAACTGGGATGTTGTTTTCCTCATTCTGGATGTATCTATATCTATACACTGTTCCAGCTTTTAAGGTTTACCGTCTATATAAACCGGACAACAGCTTACTCCAGTTGGTACTAGAACGGCTTGCGTAACAAACACATGTAATCTGGTCTTTTCTGCATGTCATTGTACCAAATGGATCGACTCTATGTTGTGATACAGATTCAACACTTTCTTGATGTTTTACCTACAGTCACGATTAATTGGTAGTGTAATTGATTTTTTCTGTGGTGTTGTTTCATTTTCTGATGACTTAGGTTCCGGTGTAGGGACGGTGGTACAATGTAACAATGCCAGTACTAGTATCTACACAGTTGGTGGGTTGGCAATAAAATTACTGTCTGCATTTGTTACATTTCATACCATTTTCTAAAACGTTCTTGTTCAAGATTTAGAAAAAATATTTTTGTTGTTTTGAAATTTTTCTGCTATGGCCTTTTTTCGTTATGTGTATAACACACACAACATTTGGGCTTCATTGCTATATAATCAATTCTCGTGTTATTGGTTATGTACAAGCACCTCCTTCAGTGTGACTCTTTGAATAAACAAACATCCGAAAAAATGTGATAGAAACATAACATTTTAATATTTCAACATAAAAAACGAGAAAAATTCGCGGTACGTCTAAACACCGCTCAGGACCTCCTGAGTGCACTCAGGACATACAAAGTGCACTCAGGACATGAAATAGTTGTTTTAGTGAGTAGTGAAGGTATGCATTCGATAGATAATTTAATTCTCCATCTGATAATTTTTTTTTTGATAAAATCAATTTAATATTTAAGAAGTTATTGAAGTTTTCATTGGCACGCGCCGATTTTATGAAATATGTCAGGCATGCCCGATGATTATATTGAATATCAATTATCATGTTGATTAGGTCGTTTGATCTTTAATAATTAGGAGTGATTAGTAATGGTACTAACCTCATACAAGTAAGCTTGGCAAACAAACAAAACCAAGATGTCTTTTGAAAAATAAAGAACAATGAAGATATATTGTTTTAGAAAAAAATGTTAAATAAACTTTTCGTACTGTTTGTAATAATTGAAGCCATTTGAGAAATGTGAGAAATCTACATATAGTTGGGAAATTTTAATTCAATTCATTTCATTTGAAAACGTTCAAAAATATAGATATAAATTATTGCAAAATGTGGCGATTATTTCATGTAGTAAGATTTGGTTTTACATTGAGCTCGTTCTTGTCCAGTATTAAGATTCCTTGAGCAGTTTTAATGTAAAAGTAAATGCTGAAGAATGATTTGTTGTAAAACAGTGAAAAGAAAATGTCTAAATTTTATTTCTGAGTAATACGAATGTTTAACAAATCAGCATTTAGTAAGATTTTATTTCTCATTTAAATCGTTCTTGTCCATGCAGTAATACAAGCCTAGAACGAATTTCAATGTGTAAATAAATTCTGAAAAAAATGAATTTGTCTCCGTTTTCTGAAAATTATCATATTTGGGTATTATTTCTAAACATTTTGTAAGTAAGATTGTAGTATGATTCTAAACTAAATTAAAAAAAATGATTTTTTTTATTGTAAAACAAATGAAAGATATTTAATTTTGTTTCTCAGTTCTTCCCATGTTTATTTTTGTCAGTTTACTGTCCTAAATAAGTGCTATCGTATATTGAACTCTCGCCATTTATCATATTTTGGTATTTTACTTTTAAAAAAAATATGAACATTTCGGTCCGTACAGAAAACATGATGTATCATTTCAATGTTGGTTTTCGAAAACAAAAGAACAGCGAGAAAGACTATTTCGGAGACTGTTGATTGACACGAAATCCGTCCAAACCACGACTAAGTCTTCGTGCACATATTTTGAAGTGCCAAAACCCCAGAAACTTGCTCGTTAGCAAAACCAAAGAAAAAGACCAAGGGCAGCATGTACGCAGCCAAGATATTAGACTTACCAAATCATATCAATAAATTCATCTAAATATTTTCATTGTAAATATTGTACATAATTGTCTTCTCTATGCCTATGTATATGGTTTATTGAGAATAAAGATATACAAATTCAATAAAATTTGATATTCAGTAAACATTGTTTTTGTTTATTAAGTTGATTTGGAGAGAGAGTAGTTGTGTAATCAGTGACACGTGCCCTCATTATTTTATAAGAATTGACATATCTATCTAAGTTCGATTTCAAATTCTACCAAACTTTAACTCTTAAATAATAAGTAGCATGTAACGAATATATACAGCCATCCTGTGTGCAAATACGATGCCTATAAAGGGTCCTGAGTGCACTTTGTATGTCCTGAGTGCACTCAGGAGGTCCTGAGCAGTGTTTAGACGTACCCAAAAATTAGCGTGAGATTTGAACCCCATCTTTAAAACAATCCATTATTTACAGTTTTAAGCGCTATCGATGGAGCCACGGTGACTCTTGAAAACAAAGTCGATATTAAGCATCTATATAGGTAAAATTTAGTGATGTTCCACTTTTTATTAAAAAAGTTGATTTTTAGGTATAAAGGACACAATAAACCAATTTCATTTTTGAGGGGAAAAGTTGTATAAATTACAACAACAACAAAAAACATAACTTTTTTTGGAGGTTAAATTAACTATTTTCCAGACATAACATAATACATAAAAATCGCGTTATTGACCAAAAAATATTTTTATTTCATGTTTTTATCGTAGATTTTATTCTTTTAGCACTTTTTGAAATTGGCCCTTCTGTGAAAAAAATTAAGGGGAAATTGGCCCTACCTGTTTGTATGAAATTTACTCGACATATTCTCGACATTCTGAATATGGTCCTAAAATTTCTTGACAAATTCTTGACATTTGAATACTGTCTTGAAATTTCTCGACATATTCTCGACATTCTTATTTTTTCTCAGTATGGCTTGACATATTCTGAACATTTTGAATGGTGTCTTAAATTTACTTGACAGTTCTGAGTTTTACAAATCATGACCAATATTCATGATATAACTTTAATCTTTATTTTTTTATATATGATATACTGTTGTTTCAAGTTACACTTCTTTACAACAAAAATAAAAGTTGGGCATGTAAAATAATTGAAAAATTTGGGTATATAAATATTTTTACAAATGCAAATATGGCTATGAAATCTAAAGTATAAAATAATTCAAATGTGGGTGTGTTGATATAAAAACAATTTCAATGTGGGTTTTTGAATAATTGCAAATTTTGATTCCTAAATCTTATAAATTAAATGATTCAAACCAATCATACTGTAAACATATTTCATTCTACATTCATAATATTATATGTTGATATGGTAAATAATTATTATACCAAAATGTGGTTTATATAAATAGCAAATTATGATGATATACAAATCATTCATTAAACAGAAGAAAAATTTGTGTAATGTCATCTGTTGGAATATATTAAGTATTACACATGGACAGGATGTTCCCCATAAAATTAAGGTATTCCACACCCCAGAGTACACGCAACTGTCAAATAGAAGTTATTGCTTTACCTGTAATCAGCCATACAACTTATCAGTTGACCGACCATGCCACTACAATTTAAAAAGTTTGTTGATAGATGAAAATGAAAATCATCATTTTGATGAAAAAAAAAATGAATAATTCCCAAAGATTAAAAGAAAATTATTATCTACTCCAGGAATAATAAAAAATATGTATTTATAATGGGTCCCATCAATGATTTCTATAGAAATCATCGGTCTTATGAAATGGTTCTCAAACAGACATGCATAATATAGATCTAAACATTTTTTTCTTTTCAGGAGGAGTTATCACAAATATTTATTTTTGATAAAAAATTATAAAATTCAACACTCAATTTGAATAAAAAATGTTTTTGTGTTGTTCTAAAAAATGAATAAGGTTTTTGAATCAAGATGGGAACAAATTCTTTGACCTAAACGAAAGCCCCCCCCCTCTTTTTTTAAGCCACACAAACCCAAAAGATGAATTGTGGGGTCCAAAAGAGATACAAGACACTTATTTTAGTAAAGCAAATTTGACTGGCAGTTTAGCGAACGGCAAAAATCTAAATGCTGTTTGTCAATACCTTCGACTTATATTCCAAGTGAAAACAATTACTTAAATGTTTAATAAAAATAAATCAAAATTAAACTACATGGGGGATTATTCAGGGTATTCCAACTTAGTTGCACCAAAAGTGTATCTTACTATACCAAATTAATCCTTGATTCTTCAAAGTTTAGTTTAGCCATAATAAAAAGGAGTATATAACAGCAATAGAATGTCATAAACAGTGCAGAATAAGTCTGTTCACATTTCAGGCGAAATTTATACTGTTGAGATAGTGTCAAGACATATTTAAGACTGTCAAGAATGTGTCGAGACATATTCAGACATTATTTAGAATGTCAAGAATATGTCGAGACATATTCAGACATTATTAAGAATGTCAAGAATATGTCAAGACAGATCGAGACAAATTTAAGACAGTCAAGAATTGGTCGAGACTAATCCATACTCTTATCAGATGATACAGGAAGTGTCGAGAAATTTTAAGACAATGTTCATACTGTCAAGACACTAGTCAAGAAAAATCAAGAACCTTATTAGACAAATTCATACTATGTCAAGAATTTTTAAAAATTATTCAGACAAATTAAGAATGTCGAGTAAAAATTCATGCAAATTCAGACAAAAACTGGTCTTTTCAGACTTTTTGACTTTTGTAGTGATGTGATGTAGACACTTGTCTTTTTAATGAAGAACATATATTATCCTCTATGTTTTTTCTAATTAAATTTATTCTAAAATAAGACAAGGAATGTATTTAAAAGGAATTCATTAGAAACATATATTGTCACATAAGTAACCGTATTAAGGTAGATGGGGTGTCTAAATTATAATCCATAGAATTTTTTAATAATTTGCCAAAATGTAGTTTATATCATGTTTTTTAAAAAAAAATAATAAAAAGAATGGGTCACGGGGCTTATTTTCACGCTACAGGTTGTGCAAAATTGACAGATTTTGTATAGATTATGCATGGAAAACCCAATTTTCTGCCATAAAACGAAAACTACACCATAGAATTTTGAGATAAAATATGAGAAGATAGCTCTGATATTATGCTTTCAGATAAGAAAAAGAAAAAATGGGGTCACGGGACCCGTTTTCTTGCTACATAATAAAATAGGTAAATTACTAACACATTCTATAGTAAAAGTAACTTTATCTGAATTATCTGCCCTTACATTTGAGTTGCCTCCCCTTATGTGGCAAAGTTGGAAAAAATTGAATCAAACAAAAAGTATTCTGTTTTTTGTAAAATATAACCACAAATATGATAAAACATGTCATTTCCTATATTGAAATGAAAATTCTTACACATGAACTACCTACTACTCTCAAAATTTGCACATTTTCTTAAAGATCTAGACCGATTGTTTTCTGGTATTTCAAAATCCAAGATGGAGGAAGACACCCTATCTACCTTAAGTTGATATTGAGATGTTTGTTTTTTTGGTTTCCCTGAGCAGCTTTTTCTAAATTTATGATTTACAAAATGTACTTAAACTTAGGTTTAATAGTTTTGTTTTAATTTGACTATTGCATAGAGCAGATAAGTATAAATTGGCTTTCACATTGATGCGTAAATTTCTCTTTCTTAAAGACCACTTTCTATATAGTGAAAAATCACGCGTGCATTGTTCCTGTAACGCAGACAATGTTTTCTTTCTCTCTCTACCTCTTAGTATTTGTGCATTTTTTTCCATGTCAATCTAACATCCACCATTTGTGTTGATAATAGTAACTACATACAAACCATCAAGGTTAGAAGGGTCCATTATGTCATTTATTCGAATATAGATGTAAGATTAACTAATGCCTACCTATTATTTACTTGTTTGTTAGGAAACTGGTGAATCATTCTGTTTATGTTAACGTGTCAGGAGTCCTGAAAACAGGAGATGGGTAAGTGCAATTATACAATTATTGAGTTGTACAACTGAGTTTTAATAAATGTGAAATAAAAAAATTTGCTACATGCATTACGAGATATTTTTCTACTGTGACAGCACTTATTATTAATAACATGTTTGTCGTATCCTATTTTCAAAGGACATGGAGGATTTTCATTTTTGTTGAGCCTGCGACTTCTGTCGCAGAAAGCTCGACATAGGAATAGTGATCCGGCGGCGGCGGCGGCGGCGGCGGCGGCGTTAACTAACTTCTTGAAAGCTTAATATTTCAGAAGGTAGAATGACCTGGACGATTCATACTTTGTATATAGATGTCTCATGATATTACGTTTCCGTCTGTCATATGTCCATTGTCCTTGACATCATTTTCATGGTTTCAGTGACTACTTGAAAAAAATTAAGATTTTTTGTAATGTTAATTTCTCTCTTATTATGAGTAATAGGACAACTATATTTGGTATGTGCGTACCTTGCAAGGTCCTCATGCCTGTCAGACAGTTTCACTTGACCTCGACCTCATTGAACAAGTTGAAGTTTTCGTGGTCAAGTCCATATCTCAGATACTAAAAGCAATAGGTCTACTATATTTGGTGAATGTTATGATTGTAAGGTGTCATATGACCTTGACCTCATTTCCATGGTCCATTGCTGTATGTTAAGTTTTTGTGTTTTGGTCTGTTTTTCTAATACTATTAGCAATAGATCAACTATATTTGATGAATGGAATGATTTTAAGATGTACATGTCTGTCTGGCAGGGTTCATCTAACCTTGATCTCATTTTCATGGTTCATTGGTCAATATAAAATTTTCATTTTTTGGTCTGTTTCTTTTATACTATAAGCAAAAGGTCATCTATATTCGGTGTATGGAATGATTGTATTAAAGGTGTACATGTATTTTCGGCTTGGTTTATTTGACCTTGACCTCATTTTCTTGGATCATAAATGTTAATATAATACATGTAGTTACACTTTATATTTAGGACTATCAACATAAACTCAATGGTCAGTATAGTAGTCGAGACATTTCAGCGTGTGCACTCTTGTTTAATGCAATTATATGATTTGAAATAAAAAGTTATTCTCTAAGTTTTATCACAATTTTAACACCGTCTTTCAAATCGCAAGGTTATTGATGGGTGGAAAATACCTGTACAAAAGAGGTTAGCCAGTTACACGTGAGATGTTTATTCTGGGTGTTAATTATCAACTTCCTATTTTTTTCACTTAAAACTTCGTGATGAATTTGAAATTTTGTATTAGGTAATACTACTTTTCTGATCGTAAACATTGAACAAGAAGTGATTGTTCAGAGATAGATACATTGCGTATGCGTACATTTGTTCGACTACTTGGACTATCCTTATAGATGTTGATACAAAAAGCAGCAATATAAACAAAATGGTTATGCTTGTAAGCTGAGCCACTGCCCTACCTTAAATTTAATGCTGGAAACGTAGTCACCAGAGGCGGATTAAGAGGGATGTCCGGGCCTCCCTTATGGAGCTACATTTATAGTTAATCCAGACTTTCGCATTCCAAACTTTGTATAGTTTGGGGGTCCACGGGCCACCCTTTTTAAAAATCCTGGATCAGCATCTGATCACAATGCAGTAATTACATCGTTTAGGATATGGAAAATGGGACTTACAGTCGAAAATTTGAAGCTCATACCCAACTATATCAGTCCTATTCAGGACCGATAACTCTGTCGATAAATATTGTCGGGTATACAGTGTTGTTGAAATCAGAGCAATTGTATTATATGTCTCTGTTGAAATGTATACAATAATAATTTTTTTTACACAAGTTTAACTTTATATCGATTTATTGAATGCCTGGATTTTGCTTAAAATATTGAATTAAAAAAATAAATAATAAAATCATATTCAATGAAATCTCGTTTAATTTTTTACGAAATAATACAAAATCCATTTAAATTAAAATTTGAATCAAAATATTTTTTTTAAATAATTATAGAAACATAAATATTAGTTTGATTATCTTTTAAAGCAAAAAATTTTTTTTTAAAGATTTTTTTTTATAATATTCATATTTTCTTTAAGTTTATTATGATACATACTTCTTTTGGTTTGACACGGGGAAGAGAAGATATTTATTTGTACAGTTATGAAAACTTTTGTATATCACAAAATTTAAACTCTGGTAATACATGTATACACAGGATGTTTAATGTCACCTGGTTGCTTTTGGTTTGCACGTCTACCTGACAATATATTGTTATGTAACATTACATCCAAAGTCAGAGTTCACCTGTTCGTCAAGTGATGGGATTTTGAAGGTATGGAATATTTATCTATAATAATTGTTGGGATTTTTTTCTCTCTTGGGACGTAAATATTTTTTTGTTCTAAAAGGAATGTATAAATATATTTCTAAAGAAAGATAAATTATACAGAAAACAGGAAAAAAACCTTTTAAAAAAAGAAGAGAAAAAATTTTATTATAAATTTTATTGTTAACTATTTTCTGGTAACAGTATATCCTGGATATCTGTCAAAATAAAAGTTTCCCGTGTCACACTTAAAATAATATTTTTTTATTTAAATCAATAACTTTTGAAATCAATCATATCGAAATATCACCAAAGAAAATAACAGAAACATCAGAGATTCTACATGAAAATTAAATTAAATCAAGGAAAGTCTTACTATACAAATCCTCGATTTGATGCAACATTTCCATATACATCATCCGCCATTTTGAAAAATCCCGAAATATTCACTTTTTTAAATCGATTTTTGACCGAAATTGCCCAGAAATTAAACTGTTTTGAATAGTATTTTTCGCCAGATATATGTTTGAATATACTTAATCGAGTTGCAAAGTTTTATTTTTATTAACGGAATTTCTTTATTTGTTATACAAGTAGACATGGGTATCGGTAATTTAGCATTGAGTCAACGGAGAAATAACGAGAAAAAGTACATGTTTTTACGATTCTCCAGTGACAGAATTTAATCAAAAATTAAACTGTTAGGACCAACATTGTTTGATAGAAATATGTTTGAATATCAAGGAATGATTTGCAAAAGTTAGAAAACGGGTCAGGTTCATGAGAAAACTCAACTTTATTGAAGCACCTATGCATTTTATATGGGGCAATATAACACAAAATGGCGGCTAGTATACGTCACAAAAGTCACGTGATGTCTGACTTAGTTGGATATGTTTTAGTACCTGAAATCCGTTTCTTTTGAACAAATTGGCCATGCACGGTCTATTGACTTTGAATGTTTTGCATAATTTACCTGTTAAAGTTTGTGATTAGATCTTGTTTAGATGAACAACTAAATGTCAAGTCAGTGATATTTGGTACGCAGTTGTAATAGCATTTGCACGTCTCATTTCCATGGAGATTATATGTACGCGCCACGTCATCATGGTTCATTGACTTTAAAACGTTTACATAGTTTGTGTTTAGGTTCGTTTAAAAGAAACCACTGCTGATAGGTCAATGCATGGTATTTGCATGGTTTGCAGTTTTATAAACATTTGCATTTCTAATTTCCATGGAGGTTATTTGGCCCTGCAACTCCTGTTATGGTTCATTGACTTTGAATGTTTTGCATCATAGTTAACGATTAAATATTTCCATTTAGATTTAGTATTTGCATTACACTATCAAAATTACAAAAAGGCGAGTCAACAGTTTATTACATATTATAATCCGAACTAGCTCTAAATACGTCTTTTTGTTTTGGATTGATTGATTTTTGTTTCCTTAACATCCAGGAGTCAACTGTTCCTGTACATTCAGGACAATAACAAATTAACAATAATCCAATGGTAAGGTTCTGCAAGCAGGATCGACCTGGCCCACTAATCGACCGCTCCGAGAGTTTGTGTAATGATTATTTTTACGTACGGCATTCACCCTGTACTCTAGGCATTGGATTTTATATCCCCATTCCGTCTGGACGTGGTAGCGTATTTATAAATGTGAACAGTCAAATGCACGCCCATTAGGATTTGTCTTACTGTCGGACATAACTTTAGATTACCATATTTCTTGACCAATGTCAGTCCTTGAAGATTTTTTTCTGTTCGATCGATCCAGGAACAATATTGCATTTGGTAGAGAAGTCAAATGATTTAATAATCCTGTATTGATAGAGAGACGTTAATGTTCCTTGTCTTTATTTAAACAAGTCTGCTATTTATGTTTATAAGAATCTTAGATTATTTAAATTATTGAATTGCCATCACACGCTTATGTTATGTGTTTTTTTTTAGTAAGGAGAGAAATGCACATGGTAACGTGCCTACATCTGGATTAGTTAATATTACTACATCAAAGACGGAGATTTGCTGTCCAGGCTTCTATAAAAAACACAGAAAGGGGTGTAAAAGTAAGCTTTTCAATTTACTCAACTAGGAAAAGTATTACTGCAAACGAAAACGTACAACTTCAGATTCCTATTATGTATACGAGACAAAAGTCATACATACTTTCCCTTGAATATTTTATATAACTCAATAAATTAAAAAAATTTTTTTTTAAGTCATTTCTATCCACAAGGAAGGGCCAATTTCCTGGGTTGGAAATTTGTTTCACCAAAATGATTAATTTGTATCTGAAAGATTTTATTTACTTTTACCTCTTTACTTTACATTACTTTTGGTTTTTGATAAGACTGTCGTTGTTAATTGTTTAGGAGAATACACCCGAAGTTCGTCCGAATCCTTGAAAACTGCAGTTATGAGCTATATCGTTAATGGTTATTTAAATTCGAAAATTATATATGTTGTTATAAATTCTTTAAATACCCATATAGAGCTATGATACTGTCGATTTTGGTAAATTTGTCGAGTTTTTTTCTCGGAATTAAAATTAAATTCAGGGGAATTTGCCCTATCTCTTTTCAGCAATAATCTTGAGTATATATTTTAGTTTCTAATGATTACTCTCAGTTACATACTCTTTCTAATATTCTAGATTTCATGATTAAGTAGAACATTTACTTAAAAAAAGCAGATAAGCTTATAATATCAAGACATACAAATAATTAAGTTGACTTTGTGTTTAAGTCAGATTCAGCAAGATGGTGAATTAGTATAATTACAAGAATTAACAAATATGTCCCACTTCACATTGTGCAATCTATGAAACGTTCTTTTGTGTATCTGCTGTAGTATTGTGAACTTTTTTAGCAAACGTCTTCTGTAAATTTACTTTCATAATGTAAGAGTCCTATATTAAGTGATGGTTTTGTTTTATGAGGACATGGTTCTGATAGGAAACACTATACAATACCGTATTCAAGATAGAGGATGCCGTTTACATAGTGTGATTTAGTACAGAATGTATTCTTAAATAAACCGTTTTCCGTTATGTATGATATATCATTTGTTTTGTTTGCCTTTTAGGGAAGAACAATGGATTTACATAACTTTACTTGTATGAAGGATAAATAAAAGTTAAATGCTTGAGGAGGTTAATAATGAAAGTTGCTTTCATCGTAGTCTTTTAATAGTAAACATATGCTACAATGATACAAATCATATACACTGTCGTTGTACAAGTAATTATGAAATGAAGTAAAATTCACTTGAATAAGTAGATATGATGAAACGAAAAACATTTTCTAAGTTATGATGCTTTGTTCTTTATCATCGAGTTTCATGAAACAGTTTATTTTCTCAAATAGGATTATTATTTGCCCCTACACCGATTTAAAATCATACTTATACCAACCTTCGTCAATTTCGCCTTATATATTATCGGCAGTTGGGAGGTTGATCTCTAATAAATCAAGATATTATCCTAATCTCAATTTTCTGTAAGAAAAGAAGGATCTTATGTACGATTAACATAGTGTAGAAATAAAGATAACTTTTAAGTATAAGGCAATTACATCTAGTTAGCGTTTCCTTTATTCCTGTTTTGTTTTGTTTGTTTTATTTTCCTTTTTTGGTTTTTTTTTCGAAAACCAAAGTAAAAAGAGGGAAACTGAAAATAACCAAAAATGATAAGCAAACAGGAGATCTACAAATGAGTTACCATTCAGCATTGGCGAACTAATCTATCGACTCCTTTGGAGATATTGTCCTTGAATATTTTTACCCATTTATGTTTTCTTCTTCTTCGGAAACTATAGTGAATGGAGAGAAACTGATAAAAAGGAAAACAATAAGCAAAATAAGTTTTATAAATGAGTTTTCAAAATCACCAGTCTTACATTTGTGTTATACATTTTGTCATGCAAGGACCTTTTATAGCTTACTATATGGTATGGGATTTGAAGACAGTCAGTGATCTATAGTTGTTTTCATCCTTGTCGTTTGGTTACTGGTAGATAGTTGTGTCATAGGAATCATACCACATCTCCTTATATTTCATATTCGTGGAACTCATTCAAGACAGAGATAAGATATTATACATTTGTATTATACGCAGACGATTCAGTTTATAAAGAGTGTTTTATGACGACTCTGTTAAAATCTTTACAAACATATACTTATAGGATGTCGCAACAATACATATGGTCTAGATTGTCAGAATAAATGTAATTGCACAGACGTCCAAAAGTGTGACCGCAGAACTGGAGAATGCAAGGAATGCAAAAGGAAGTGTGAAGATGATGACGGAGGAGATGATGATAAGTCCACAGTATCAACCCACGGTAGCGATCTTTTTCATTAAGTTTTCACTGACTCAATGTTTACATATTTTTATTATGATATTTCCTTATATTGAGTGTTCTGTTTTTTCCTATCTTGTTTATATTATATTTTTAAACTTTATTTAGCAGAATGACTATAACACCCAATGTTATTGCATCACGTAAACAATTGTCAAAATGAAACTTAGAAAAGTATGCAGCAGATTTATAAACATATTGAAGAAGTTTAACTGATAATTTATTAATCAATATTTCATTCTTTTGAAAATACACGTATTACAATTTTCAAAGAGGTGTAGTGAAACCTATAGTTAGTCATCATTTCATTTTCATTAGTTGATGTTGTACTTATTAAGGATGTACCTAGGTGAGGGTTTGGATTTTTTGTCAGATGTTCTGACTCCTTTTTTTTTCCTACGATACAGGTGTTTGCCCCATAACACCCATTTTTCTTTTCATATAAGACTTCAATAGCTCATAAAAGGTCATTAGCCAAAATTTAAGCAGATTCTAGATTTCTTTTCCTTCGATTGAGACCCAAATATTATCAAAGCAAATATAATTTAAAAGTCCGCGTCAGCCTTTTCCCGCCATTTAAAAAAGATTAAATATTTCGAAAAGGATTTTTTTAATTGCACCTAAGTACATCCTTAACACCCAAATATGTATAAATATATTAAAATAAAATTACCTCTGCAGACTATAGTACAACACGTGCACAAAGACCACAGTCAACAGGGAAAAGTTCTGCACCTTCAACAGTTATAGGTGTGACTCCAACTGGAGCTGACAATGGAATTCAATACAGTACGTAATTAAACAGTTTTGTCTCAACAGGAGAGAGGAAAACTGACTCTATCTTAACTAAAATTATGAATAAACAAGATATGTTCAGTATAAAACAAATGCATGTTTCAAACGATTTTTGCAGTTGCTAGGAAAATATGAATATTCAGTTCTTACTTCGGCATAAGGTATGAAAGGACTGGACAACTGGGACCTGAGTCCTAATGTGTTCTCAACACATGTATAAAATCCATACCATGTTACATAGGAATTGAACCAACCTGGACACCAAGGATTATTTTACACACCACTTTTTATTTTTATGCACCACCTAGGGGCATTATGTTTTTCGGTCTGTGTGTCCGTCCGTCCGTCCGTCCGTTCGTCCGTCTGTCCCACTACAGGTTAAAGTTTTTGGTCAAGGTAGTTTTTGATGAAGTTGAAGTCCAATCAACTTGAAACTTAGTACACATGTTCCCTATGATATGATCTTTCTAATTTTAATGCCAAATTAGAGTTTTGACTCCAATTTCACGGTCCACTGAACATAGAAAATGATAGGGCGAGTGGGGCATCCGTGTTCTATAGCACATTCTTGTTATTTTATATTTGTGTTTCCAATAACAAAAAAATAGTAGGCCATTGATACCAATGGGAAGTTTATGCCTGTAAAATATCAAACAGTTTACCAAACAATGGAACTAAACTGAATACATGTATGTAGATCACTTTACATCACCTATAATTGTCCATGTCCAAATTTGTATCTTGATCAGATTTACATCACTATTGTCCACTTTAAACATTTGATAAGAAGGTTTGTATTTTGATAATGTAACCAGTTATTCGAAAGTACAATAATTATTCATTGTATAAAATGGTAAGATTTCTTAAGATTGTTTTATGAATGTGTGACTGTTAGATAGCAAAAATTGGATTTTAAGTCTTTCCGTTTTTTTTATTTAATTCAGATATAACTACAGTCCATCCTTGTGACATATGTGAACAGTTTGGAAACTGTTCGAATGAACCCGGCTGCGCTTTAGTACCAGCAGGACATGGTACGTAAACTATTAATACAAAAATAGAAATAAGCGGTCCGATTGCCAATGAGATTCGTCTGAGGCCTTCGGAAGAGGACGTATACATCTTTAGGTCACCAAACGGTCTGCAATAATGAACAAACCATTAGCCAATGACAGCTTCTGAAGTACAGGGTCCTGACTTTGGTAAGGCACACACATACAGTGGCGGGGTTTAACATATTTGGGAACGTTCACCCCTCCCTAAACATGAAACAGTATTGTAAGAACACAACATAACACACTGTTAAAATAAGTTGAGAGAGTCATGTATCAAATTGAATTTACGAAGGTACTTTGCAGATTACCAATCAGTATCTCATAAAATCTATAAGTTATACAGTCTAATAACATTCCCAATTAAAAAGTATATTTGAGTAAAATGACGAAATAATTTGGTAAATAGAATGACGATATCATAGAGAGAATTACATTTTTTTAGAAATACTATTTTCGAGATCTGATCTTAGGGGAAGGGAAACTTTATTTAAATTTTTGAAACTCCGAGAATTCTGATAGTCATATGAAGTTGTCTCATTGGAAATCATACTGTTTATGGTGTAAACATTAATTTAAATACAAATACACACGTGCACTCGTCTAAATACGATTTTTCTAGGTCGTTTTGATTTCATGTTATTGATATATGATTTAAATATATGATAAGCAAGTCTCAAAGGGTACTAAATCCCCAAAACAAAGTAAGATCATAAACAAATATTAAATATTTCGGATAACTAATATCCTTCATCAGTAAGATGTCAAATGATTCTTATCTTGACATGTGGTAGTCAAACTGAAATAATGATCTTGATCGTTATACAAATTATCACGTATCAATACGCTGTTTAATTTTTTAAATATTGATGTTTGGGAGGAGGTATAAATTCCTTAAAACTGTGGGAGTCCTGTACTGAAGCCTAAGTTACAGGAAACAAGTGATAGTAGGGACTCATGTTTTTTCATTAATGCCCTCTGGGGTAACTGTCCTTAACTTTCTTATCCAAAAACTTTCCCGAGCAAGTCTGTCGACCCTTGAACAACCCTCGTTGTGGTCTATGATAGTGATGATAAGGTTTTTGAGATCAGATTGGGCTTCCCCAGGTGGTCTCAAATGACTACTTACGGGGAGGTCGTTCATGCGTATTTTGAAATGCTGTTCTGTCTCGCCAACATACTGCATGCCACATCGACACTGAAGAAGGTATACAACAATCTGGGTATTGCAAGTTACATTGCAATATATAGTGTTTACGGACCCAGTGAAGTGGCAAGTAAATGTTTGAGTATTCAGTATTTGTTGGCAAGTTAGACATCGTCTGTTACCGCACGACTTGCACCGATATATATATGTATAATCGTTTTTATATAATACTCTTTGCGAAAATGATTTTGTGTGGGAAGATTAGTCAACGTAGGAGTTTTTCACACTGACTGCCTTGTTTCACTTTTAAATGTTGTCATTCTTTTCTGAACCTTGCTGCTTGACGTTGTAATCTGTTGCTGCATTTTCTACTATTGAACGCACTAGTAAAGAATGCGGGACAACTCGGCCCGGAGACAAGTCGGACCGAGTCCAATCGGACCGACTAATAAGACAACTCGGACCGTCTATGAAGACAATTTGGACCGTCAATAAGTCAACCACGACCGTCCATAATGACAATTCAGACAACGTATTAAAAGGAGGATTTGAACTATATAAATGATTATAAATTATTAAATGTTATATTTTACATGACAATATCATTTCGGCATGCTGCTGAAGTTGTAAAACATGATAAAAATACTGTATAATGTGAATACAAATTTCTACATGTCTTTTTCAATTTATTAATTTAATTTGCAAAACAAGATAAAAAAAAATTGGTTAAATGTGAATACAAATTTTTACTTGTGTTTATCAATTTATTATAAAACTTAACTGAGGCAAAACAAAGTCTAGGTTGAATTTGTTTTATTTATTTTTTGAATTCTTTATTAATTATTTTAACGTCAACTGGGACCCTAAATAATGCCAACTATAACGAAGTATAAGTATTTATCTTATGTGAATGACATACTTGTTTTGATTTATTGTACCTCTTAGGTTTTACTTAGTGCTTAAATTATCTGTTTTTATGTAAATAATGCACTTGCTAATTGATAAAATAAAGATATGTATGTATATATTATAGTTATAGTCTTTTGGAAATTGGAGTATGCTTGGACTAATTCTACAATACTTGAGGATATATTAAACAAAACAAAACAAAAAAAAGAGAATCTACCAAAACATTACAAACATTATTTACTAACACAGCTTTCAAACAACAGAAATAAAAAAAATCTAGAGAACATCACTCAATTGTATTTTTAGATGTCTAGACGGCCTTCTTAGACGGTCCGAATTGTCTTTTTCGTTATTTATATACTCAAAATCGGCATCAAAACTTTATTAGAAACTTCCCATCAGACACAGTCTTTTCATTAAATCATTTATTTCGTCAAAACTCTAATTTTATACTTAGTCTGGGTTGTCATTATAGACGGTCCGAGTTGTCTTCATAAACGGTCCGAGTTGTCTTTTTTGTAGACGGTCCGAGTTGTCTCCTGGCCGACTTGTCTCGCACCCCTGGTAAAATGCAAGCAGTTTTCTTACACTCCAGTGGGCAGCACCTTATGCTCCTTCCTAGAAAACCTTGAGTTTGCCTTTTTTGCAACATTTGTTATGTGTGTGGTTCACTTCAGATCTTCTGTTATTTGAACTCTTAGTCATGGGTTGTTTTGGACTTGTTGGATGATTTGAGTGTATAAAATATCTGGCTATTGTTTTTAATGCGTAAGATGTAACATTGTTTTGCATTCTTCTAGGTTCGCTAGATCTTAATGCAATAGTTTGTGGTCTTTTTCTGTTTTGATGGTCTAAACAGTAAACCGTCATCAGCGAACAGTCATACTTAAGATATTACAGTGTCCCGGAGGTCATTTATTTGACATAAGAATAACGGACAATATACAGTTCCATTAAGGATTGCTATGTCAGTTTGAAGGCTGGCGTCGAATGTGTTCATGAAGTCATGTCGGGTGACTAGCAATTGTGTTTCGCACGAATAGCCAGATCTGAATCCATGAATGAGCTATGCTAATACTCTATGCATTTTAAGATGTTTTGAGATGTGCTTGCACATTACATGTTCTAGTAGTGTGCAAGGTACCAATGTCAATGAGACTGGTCTGTAACTGTCGGCAGCGCGTTCTCTCACTTCTTGAATACACACGAAATGAGTCTTCAGTCTTCAGATAATATTCTAGCGTATATTGATGTTTGGAAGATAGCAGTTAGGCCTGGTGATATTTCTGTTGCACATTCTTTCAGAGTTTTGTTTGGTATACCCTCTGGTCCAGATGCTTTAGATGGATTTACATCTTTAAGTTGTTTTCACAACCTTTTGATGGTATTTGTTGTTGAAGTATAGATTCGTTTATGTATTTCGTTGTTTTGGGTTTTGATGTTAAAAGGTCAATTGTGAATACTTATCTAAATTGTTGGATTAATATTTCCGTATTCTATTTGTTGTCAACTGATCAATTTCCCTTTGGTTATTAATGGTTTTTAAAGGTGATGAATCGATGTTATCAGCTTTTCTGGATTTGGTGTACTTCCAAAATAGCTTAGTGTTGTTTGATTCAAGGCCTTTGATGATGGTATCATTGATGTACGAGTATTCTACTTTTCTGACTTACCTTTTTACTTCTTTTTGGAATTGTTTATAGTTTGTTCCTTTTTTAGTTCGCTTAACTTGTTGGTGTAGCCTTTATTTATTATTTTTGTGGCTTATCCAGGTTAGGTTATTCTTGGAGCGGATTTCTTTATATGGTATATTTTTGCCCATACTTTGTAAATCTTCTCTCTTGAAGGTGTCGCTCATGTCTTGTACATTTATATATGTTTTCTACATCTGTCTTATTTTTGTTGATGTTGCTTCGTAGCTAATTATGCTAATGTCCCTTTCAGACATCAATAATTTTGTCAAACTTTCGCATAATACATGTGTAATATTAATTGCATGCTAAACGCTTGATTCTACGGAACCCTTTACGATTAAAAAAAATGCATTGTATACATATGAAAGAATAAATGCTTACTATGTTTAAAATAACCTGTTTTGAAACTAATTCAAGTGTGTTATTCTTTTCAGGAAGTAAGGTTAAAGAAGGCTTAGGAAAGGGTCATACAATATTAATTGCCGTTGTTCTGTCTTTAGCCATACTTACAATTCTATTAATTACCTGTATTGTCTTAAGAGAAAGGTGAGTAAATATTTTCGGATAACTATAGTAATAGATTTAAATACACACATACATACATTATATGAAACAATAATTACTACTACAGATTAAAAGAATTCAAAACAATTAGTATATCCTAATGTAACAAATAATATTTTGTCATATTTAAGTTGTCTGAAAAAGTGTAAATTTATTCTATCCATTCTTTTCATTTCGGCAGACCGAGTTCAGATTTGTTTGTTTGAAGTCAAATCTGTTGATATTCGTTTAATAAAGAAGCTATATGTCATATCATGCTTATAGACTGAACATTTTGTACCTAGGTCAAAGCAGAAGATAAAGAGTTTCGTCAATGATAAAAGAGAGGCGAAAGATACCAGAGGGACATTCATACTCATAAATTGAAAATAAACTGAAAACGCCATGTTAAAAAAGAAAAAGAAAAACAATAGTTCACAAAACATAACATTGAAAACTAAAGACTAAGCAACGGGAACCCAACCAAAAACTGGGGATGATCATAGGTGCTCCGGAAGGGTAAGCAGATCCTGCTCCACATGTGGCACTCGTCGTGTTGCTCATGTTAGTACAAACCCTGTAATAAGTCCAATGCGGTAGGTCACATTCGTGAAAAGGGGAACGAGATTGTAGTTACGGCATAAGGAACATATCCGCTATCATCTGAGAAACGGATATTCCATAACGTCAACCAACTCGTGATGGTGTCCTTAAAATTTACGAGGGGATGATTTCAATTTCACCATTTGGAACACTTGGTTTAATAGCTTCCTTGTGAGCAGCAACCCTACTGTGAGCAGTATTGTAAACATACATTACCAACCTTAAGTTGCAAGTCCCTGAGTAAAAGTCTACCATAGACAGATTTTTCAGTTTCATTTAGAATTTATTTGTTTTCGACTTTCTAGGGTACACAATGTTATTATATACTAATGTATTTGCCTTCACTGATTTGAATGATGTTTCTCTTTTGGTCGTTTTGTGGTTTTTATACGACCGCAAAAAAATTTTGTGGTCGTATATTGGTATGACGTTGGCGTCGTCGTCGTCGTCGTCGTCGTCCGGCGTCGTCGTCGTCGTCGTCGTCGTCCGGCGTCGTCGTCGTCGTCGTCGTCCGGCGTCGTCGTCCGAATACACATTGGTTTTCGCACTCTAACTTTAGTTTAAGTGAATGGATCTTTTTGAAATTTGACCATAAGGTTAAATACCACAAAAGGAAGGTTGGGATTGATTTTGGGGGTTATGGTACCAACAGTTAAGGAATTAGGGGCCAAAAAGGGGCCAAAAATAAGCATTTTCTAGTTTCCAGACAATAACTGTGCAACGGTGTATGGATCTCTCTGAAATTATACTACAAGTTTCCATACCACAAAGGGATGGTAAGGATTTGCATTGGGGGGTTATGGCTCAAACCGTTTAGGAATTAGGGGCAAAAAAGGGGGAAAAACAATGTTGTCCTGGTTAATGGACAAATACTTTAGTACAAAACATAATTTAAAGCAGTGTAAGGGAGATAAATCAAATACATCATTGAAATTATCTCCCTTACACTGCTTTTAAATTATGTATAAAGTAATGGTTAATGAACAATAAAGATAATTTAAAACAGTGTAAGGGAGGTAATCCAAATACAACGTTTTAGTTACTTCCCTTACACTGCTTTTAAATTATGTTTAAAGAAATGCATTTTTATAAAGGAAGACCAGTAAAAATATCTGCAAATGTTGCATCTTTTTTTTTTACAAAAAAATCCATATGAAAGATTTGACACTATATTTTTAATTCTATTATAAAATAGATTAAGTTAGCACTATGGTAAATTTAAATGGGTAATTATGGTTGCCAACTCCATTGGAAATTTGAATTGAGATTATGACTATATCTTGAGGGAAAGAATTTTTTGGGGGAAAAAAGGTGGGGGGGGGGGGGGGGGGATAAAAAGAAATTGTGGGGGGTCAATTTTTTCTCATTTCAGATTTCAGAAATTAAAAAGAATTATTCTTCAAATATTTTTTTTTTTCAAATTTCAAATATTGAAAAATTTCAAGAAGTAATCTTTAATTGCACAGTATGGCGCATTAGATTTGTAAAATCTTTGATCACATTTATTTATTTGTTATGCCGAATCTAACAGTGTATTTAGATTTTTAATTTTGGGTCCAGTTTTCAAATTGGTCTACATTAAGGTCCAAAGGGTCCAAAATTAAACTTTGTTTGATTTTAGCAAAAATTGAATATATGAGGTTCTTTGATATGCTGAATCTAAACATGTATTTAGATTTTTGATTTTTGGCCCAGTTTTCAAGTTGGTCCAAATTGGGGTCCAAAATTAAACTTTGTTTGATTTCAACAAAAATTGAATATATGGGGTTCTTTGATATGCTGAATCTAACCATGTATTTAGATTTTTTATTTGTGGACCCCGTTATCAAATTGGTTCATATTGATGTCAAAAGGGTCCAAAATTAAACTTTGTTTGATTTCATCTAAAATTGAATTATTGGGGTTCTTTGATATTCCAAATCTAACCGTGTATTTAGATTTTTAATTTTGGGTCCTGTTTTTTAATTTGGTCTACATTAAGGTCCAAAGGGTCCAAAATTAAGCTTAGTTTGATTTTAACAAAAATTGAATTCTTGGGGTTCTTTGATATGCCGAATCTAAACATGTGTTTAGATTTTTGATTATGGGCCCAGTTTTCAAGTTGGTCCAAGATAGGGTCCAGTATTTAAACTTTGTTTGATTTCAACAAAAATTGAATATATGGGGTTCTTTGATATGCTGAATCTAAACATGTATTTAGATTTTTGATTATGGGCCCAGTTTTCAAGTTGGTCCAAATTGGGGTCCAAAATTAAACTTTGTTTGATTTCCACAAAAATTGAATATATTAGGTTCTTTGATATGCTGAATCTAACCATGTATTTAGATTTTTTTATTTGTGGGCCCCCCTATCAAATTGGTTCATATTGAGGTCAAAAGGGTCCAAAATTAAACTTTGTTTGATTTCATCAAAAATTGAATTATTGGGGTTCTTTGATATTCCAAATCTAACCGTGTATTTAGATTTTTAATTTTAGGTCCCGTTTTTTAAATTGGTCTACATTAAGGTCCAAAGGGTCCAAAATTAAACTTAGTTTGATTTTAGCAAAAATTGAATTCTTGGGGTTCTTTGATATGCTGAATCTAAACATGTGTTTAGATTTTTGATTATGGGCCCAGTTTTCAAGTTTGTCCAAGTTGGGGTCCAAAATTAAACTTTTTTTGATTTCAACAAAAATTGAATATATGGGGTTCTTTGATATGCTGAATCTAACCATGAATTTAGATTTTTTATTTGTGGGCCCGCTATCAAATTGGTTCATATTGAGGTCAAAAGGGTCCAAAATTAAACTTTGTTTGATTTCATCAAAAATTGAATTATTGGGGTTCTTTGATATTCCAAATCTAACCGTGTATTTAGATTTTTAATTTTAAGTCCCGTTTTTTAAATTGGTCTACATTAAGGTCCAAAGGGTCCAAAATTAAACTTAGTTTGATTTTAGCAAAAATTGAATTCTTGGGGTTCTTTGATATGCTGAATCTAAACATGTGTTTAGATTTTTGATTATGGGCCCAGTTTTCAAGTTTGTCCAAGTTGGGGTCCAAAATTAAAATTTGTTTGATTTTAACAAAAATTGAATATATGGGGTTCTTTGATATGCTGAATCTAACCATGTATTTTGATTTTGGACATTGGACCATAATAGGTAAATTAAAAAAATTCAAGTTCTTAGACCACATTCTTTCTGTGTCAGAAACCTATGCTGTGTCAAATATTTAATAACAATCCAAATTCAGAGCTGTATCAAGCTTGAATGTTGTGTCCATACTTGCCCCAACTGTTCAGGGTTCGACCTCTGCGGTCGTATCAAGCTGCGCCCCAGCGAAGCATTTTATTTGCCATGGCATCGTCTGTTTATTTTCGACTTATGACTTTGAATATTCCTTAGATATCGATCGACTCTATTTTTCAGAGTACGTAATCAATGCAATTAAAAAAAGTTCAATTGTTTAATCATATATTGACTACTTATATTAACATCATTTGCTCCTTTTCAGAAATCACAGAAAACAGAAACAGAAAATAAAAGAATCAGCACTAGGTATAGATATATGACAACTTTTACACAATTATATTATCGGCTTGATTTGTAAAACTGAACAAATATTGTAAATAGAGAATACGAATTTGAGTGGATCAATAATAATAGATGTTCATCTTAACTATGTAAATTATTTCAGTGCTTTTTAACTTTGTAAGGACGTAATAGATGGTGACAATTAGTAGTTCTGATTGATCAGGGGCAACCTATCGTATCTAAACATAAATATTAGTCGTACTGGTCAATTTGTAGCACCCTTGATTTGGTTTCAAGCATTCAAAACACATGTAGCCAGTAGTTATATCCATTCACCAATAGTTGTATAACCGTTGTATTATCCATGTTATGGGGATTTTGAGTGATTGATTGATTATACCATTATGGATTATAACATATGTATTGAAGCTCGAAAATTTGCAATAAAAGTAAATGTTTTCTATGTCTATCCAAGTATTATATTTTGCACCCTTATAATACTGTCCCGACATTCATGTTTTCTCTCAATAAATGTTCGGATAAGGAATTATCTGTTGGCAATGCCAATTGTGTACTTGTTTGTAGAATAATTACAATTCATTTTTCCAAACATTTCGCTAGAAATATGACTGTTGACATTATGAATTTAACTTTTGTAGTGATCTTTCTAAGTAAGTTTGATAGTCTTTGTTAATCTTACTAACATATTTTAAGACATGGATTGCTTAGACTTGTCATACTGTTTAGCCACTGGCTGTTTTGGAGACCTGTCTTTAGTTTATTATGTTGTTAGGTTTTTGGCTTATTGATCTATATCCGCAAAGATCATGGATTGTGATGTTTTTTTAATTTAAATTTCAGTTAAATTTTCCAGCTCCGATGAAACAACAGAGTATGTCGATCCAGAACCTGTATATTCTGAAATAAAAGAAGAAGAAATAGGTGTACGAAATGGGAACTGTTATACACCAAACCTTCCAGACATACCTGTCAATCATGAATACTATAAACTGCCAGAAACAGATAAAAACATCGAAACAGATGAGTGTGGGTATCTCAACCCTTACACTGCATTACGATTCGCACGAAGTGAAAGTAATCTGTTCAGAGACAGAGACTTGCGTGATAAAGGAACATATGATGTAACATATTCCTTAGCAAAAGCGATACAAAGGGACGATAACTCAAGTGCCGAGGAGCATGGAGATTTGGATAAACTCATGAATGATTCTAGTCAGAAAGATGAACGGTCCAGTGATGTGCCGGTTTATTTTGTGCTGGAAAAAAATGATAAACAAACTGAATCTCATGATAACCCTGAACGAGAAAAACTTTTGAAACGGGAGTCAAAATCAAGGTCGAGCATTTAATTTAGACAAACACATTATTTAGTGCAATATTTATTGTTAAAATTGCAGTTATATGTCAATATGACGTTGCTTTGAATTCTAAGCTGACAAAGATCAGTCTATATAGTAATTGCATCATTGTTGATCTGTAGTTACTAAGTTTCCGTCATACTGGTACTTATTTATTTAATATATTGAATTGGTATGTTCTCAAGTTAAACTAGAGATACAATTGCTACTTTCCTAGGAAAAGTTTGTTTGAACTATTTTGATGTTTTGTACAGGTCATTTTAGGTAGTTTTGTCTCAACATTTTTGACTTTGTGTATATGTGTATCAAACTTTTTGTGTATTTAACTTCTTAATTGTTAGGCCATGAGCGTATGTCATTTGATTTATTCCTTGATACACTTGTCATGTGCACTAAAAAATTAGAATAACAGTATCTTTAATGTATGAAATGTGTGTACAAACATGTCAATTTGACATGATATACACTAATATTACCTTATATAGCCCTGCTTGTAGATAATTATACTGTTGACCATGTATCAAGCACGTTCCATTTGTATCTGAACAGTTTACATTCTGGTGTTTTGCAATAGTTTTTCAGATTTAGGTATGTAGCTGGTCGGAATGGTTCATCAACTATATATATGTTACGTCACCCTATATCATGATAAAATAGTGTCAGAATATGACTGTATATACTGTCACCAACAAAATCAATACAATAATAAGTTACAGCTTTTCTCAAATAATATTTGATAGTTGTGCATTCGAATATTTAAAAAAAATAATTAAAAAAGTAAGTTACTTCATCGGTGTTTTATATCCAAATAGAAAGATATAAATCAAAGTTAAAATAATTGTAATTTCAAAAATTACATACATTTCAAGAGCATATATAACCGAAAAAGACAAATAAAAGTATAGTATAACACAGATAAAAAATCAGAGATATGCACTAGAGAGAAAATACTTTAATTGAATATCAGTTCCTTAATTTCATAGCAGCAAAATCCAATAAAATCAGTATTTTCATGCCAGTACAGAAATACTGAGCTACTGGACTGGTCCACCAACAGAGAACTTGTGATAGTTATGACATTTACTGCACAACTTTCGCATTTCGACAATTAAGGTATCTCTAGTGATGCTTGCGGCCAAAATAATTGAAAAACCTAATTCGAACTGAAAGGGGAAATTATTTCAATGTGCATTTATTTCAACAATCAGAATGAGATTAAATAGAATAGGGAAGTAGATATGGCATTTAGTAAGCTAGAATAAACATGACAATGTGCAATATTGATTATATTTGAGTGATATTGTATTCAGATATATAAGTATATCTGAATGATATACATGGTTACTACTGTTATTTTGACATCAGTGAGGGGTCTATTGGTTTTTATTTAGGTTAAATTTTAAGTCGTAAATTTTATTTGGGATTGTTTTCCTAGTGACTTTTATCCAACATTTCGTTTTATTCATTAGTATTAAAAGACAAAAATGTGTTTAATTTGCTACATTTCTTACTTTTAGGTAGATTTTTAACACTTTAAAATCATCTTATTCCATGTGTACAATAAATATTTACATTCATACTGCTTTGTTATTTCTTTCATAGAGTACAGTCACAGACGGAAAGTTTATCAGCCCTTTAATACCTAAGTATACTAATGTCTGCAGTGGCATAGCCAGGGCTTAATGGATGTGGATGCCAAAAATTCTTTTGGACCATTTTATGCAGAAAATTATATTTTTTCCCTGAATGCATGTGTACTACCCCCAGAATCCGACACTAGTTAGATTTTTGTTTCAATTCCATAAATAAGTGCCTTGAAAATATTGAATATGGTTCCAATGATAATTTATTTACAAAATTAACAATTCAGATTATTTACAACAAAACGTTCAGCTTTCTTCCCTTAACAGATGCAAATTTTGTAACTACAGTCCCTCTTTTTCCTGACGAGTAACATATCTAAAAGATAAACCCATCAGTAACCAGATAAATGAACAGTTTGTCTTTGACACCATTATCTGCGAAGACAGTACAACTTCCGAAATAGAGTGCATCAGTAAACATCGAATGTCTTAGCCATGGATTCTCTTTAAACCAAAACGCATTCATTTTTCTCTCCAGACCATAGATAACCCTACAATTTAATCAAAACTTTAAATCATAGATTGTGCCAATATAAATTCCATATTTTTAGATACAAACAAAAAGAAGACTGGAAATTGAAAGCAAAGCCCAATACATGATACTCACATTCCCCCTAAGCCCAGACCCCTAAGTAAGCATGGGGGTCACTTATATATATTTGGCATACCTGAGGCTGTGTAGCTTTGAATTTCAATTTAACCAACAATTCATATATTTCCAATAGAATTTTATTGTTTTCTTGAAACTACCATCATTCAATTAATAAATATATAATGTAAAAGTCCCCCCCCCCTTTTTTTATTTGACAGCTCAAAAACGGACCCATTAGAGTGGCACTTCTGTTTATGGAAATTTGGAATATAAGAACCAGTGACCCCCTTTTCCCGGAATTCGAGCCTCCCCATAGGGTTTTTGAATTATGATTACTTAGCCTTTTTAGTGGTGATATTGCCAAAACATGTGATAATAAAATTAATATTTGTACCTAGATGGAAACGGGTATTTATAAGCCCAGGAATGATCGCACTCTGTCACAAATTGAGTTTTGATCAATTTGTCTTTCATGTCACTGGAAGCGATATCAGAATATGGGGTTTATTTGGTGGTAACGTTGTTACTTCGTCAGATGTTGAATCCATTGCTCCGCTTGGCTCAGTTTCAGACGAAACTTGTCCGCGGGTCTGCGTATCATCATCCTCTGCGCTTGCAGTAGCCGATGATGTAGACTTTTTACGAAAAAAGTCGAGAACACTTTTCTGCTTTTCCATCTTGTTTATATAAACTAAATGAAGAACACATGCTTCGGAAATGATTTGGCGTTGTTCTCATATCCTTACCCCTGTAACATTCGGAGACCTACGCGTTTATCTGCTGCGAACATATGCGATTATATGCAATTATATACTTTTTTTATTTTTTATTTTTTTGTCAAAATGATGTAGATGCTTGAGCATCTGAGCATACATGCAAGCTATGCCACTGGTCTGTCCTCAGATACGTGGAATTCAAATTTATCTTATATTCGCCTTACTGCATCTGAATCAATACATTAGAGGCAACAGTAGTGTACCTATGTTTAAATCGGATAAATCCACCAAGAATAACCAAATCTAGATTTGGAACAACTAAGGGAATCGCATGAACTTTAAAGTTAAAGTAACCACTTAACAGTCACCTCGATTCTATAAGCTTCCTCATGCAAAGTAGACATAATATGCTTTACGTGTTTTGTTCTGGTCGTCTTTCGTCTATTACATTTGTATTTCCTTACCGAAACATCTAGAGTCTTATTCAAAACTAGTAAATGACAGGTAAATATAACCTTTAAACTATAAATGAAAGATATTTAAGTTGCCAAGAAAATCCTCAAAACGTCAAAGTTCGGCTAAGTTGAATATTTATGTAATCGGGTCCAGTGAAATATAACTATCATACTGTGAAAAAAGCTGCCATAAGTAGTATACAACTTAGAGTACAAAAAGTAACAATAAATCTCGAAAAAGATGGATGAATCTGGGTGGGGGAGCAGTTCCTTTGCTACTATTGGTAAATTTTGTTTTGCTCATGACAAGGAAAACATCAGTCATAAGACACATTGTGATAAGCGACAGGATTGTGGCTACGACAAATGTTAAATATCTCTGGTCATATCTGAAATAAATATTCCATAACGATCAACTAAATCATGATGGCGTCTTTAAAATTTGAATAAGATGACTTCAATTTTATCATTCTGAATAGGTTCCTTGTAAGCATCAATCATCTATTTAAGAAATGGTAAGTGCTAAATGACGTTAGTAAGCCCTGGATACTCGTAGATAATGACATATATATATATATATATATATATATATATATACTCCATATGCAGGTAATGCTGGAATCTTGCTACAGACAATTGAAAAGATCACAATGTAAAAATTAAAGTCCTCTTGTTTGTCTTACATTCTATTTATCACTCACTGGAAATTGTAAGGTGACCGTGAAGATTAATGTATCTGTGGTAATGCTTTCCCTTATTTCAAGTAATAGGTTAGATGCTATGAACATAGTCACAAAACTTTGAATTTTGCAAGGAGTGGCTATTATCAATACAGTATAATGAGCGGCTTCTTTTCATTCTTTTTGTCTCCTTGGTAACGGTATCTTTCTTTGAGCGAAGTATTTTTCATACGTTTTCAAAATAATAACGGTGAAAAAAGATGCACAATTGGTTCGCACCGAAAATTATGTATTCTGTTCAAAACACGTTCCCTTCACGTGAGAAAAAGGTTGTCAATAAAATAATAAAGGATCATGATGAGTTCAGTTACACTGATTTTTTTGTTATAAACGGAACGATTTTTGCCCACTTAACCAAGATAATTGTAGATGTCTGTCATTACTTTTACGAAGTTAGGCTAACTCTTGCATATTGTTTAATGGCTTTTGGTGGCCGAGTGGGCTCAGTAGTTCAAGTACTGTATCACTGGCCTGTCAACACTGTGGTTATTAGATTGAACCCCGCACATGCCAGGTGCGTTCGACTCCAATTCTAATTGACTAGTATTGTCAGTTTTCCTGCCTAAGGTTGACGGTTCTCTCCGGGCACTCTGTCTTACTCTATTAATAAAAACTGACCGCCATGATATAGCCAATAGTGATGAAAGTGGTATTAAACACCAACAAGCAATCAATCAATCCACATGGTTAACAATGAGGAATATTTGTGTATAAAAAGTGAAAAAGTGTATCTGCTATTGTAGAATGAGAGGGGCTAGACTGGGTACAAAATATTTGACATGGAGGTAAGACAGGCGCCTTTGAAGAAAACTTTTATATGAATTTTCAAAGACAAAACAAGTTTTGGAATTGAAGATATCCAATATAATTGATATTTTCTCAGAGATCAGATAAATATATTTTATTCTAAATCAATACTTTTCAGATAACCTTTTCTTAGTATCAAAGTGGGGTTTCATTTGTTAAAAGTATGATGTATCACGTCCTAAAATTTCTATTTGTATCGTACTGTCAAAATATCTCTATTAAATCATTGTGGTAAGAATTGGTACTATGCTGGTATGGTTTGGTATATATGGAGTATTCTGTGAGTGATTGCGGTTGTAATTTTTCACCGTAGAACCTACCTGTTACAGGTTTTCCCTGCCTCTTGGTCTAAAGCAAAACGTACGTATTGTGTTTGTATGTGCCAATATATAGAAATGTAGCCTATTACCAAGCCGATGAGTATCTAGTAAAAATAGTCAGTTAAAAAGTACTTATTTGGTAACATCATCCAGTAAATTAGTGGTGGTATTTGGTAAGCTGCTTAATTTAATTGTACCTGATTATTCAACTAAATAGTGTTTAGTTTCCAGTGAGGCTAACCAGTAGTAATAAACGTGCTTTATAGGTATTCGAAGTAGAACTAATTAATACCCGGTGAAAACTTCGTAAACATGGTAAATTTACATTCATTGAAATCAGGATTTTAAAATTCCTGACCATCTGCATTGGAATATTGGTGGTTTACCTAGATTGTGGCACAAGGTATTCTTTTTACATGATGTAGGATTGCACTTGTAAGTATATTGTCTTTCTGAGTCGGTTTGCCCTGTTGAAGGTTTTGACAACAGGGTTTCTCCCTGAAAATGAATTATTTTTTTCATTTTAGCATTATCCTTCCTTTGAAGGTTTAACCCTCTAGCGGTTTTGTTGAGGTGACCTTTCATACTAGAAATGTAAATGAATAATACAGATTTTAGTGTTCACAACACATGCTCCTTGGTCAATCTCATCAGGAGACCAAATGCCAGTAAAGTCAAATGCATAAAAAACGTTTAAGAATATAAAATTTAAACTGGGTCTCAACAGAACAGCCAAAACTGTATGAGGCTCTCAATATAGCTGAAATTTTACAAAATCGTTTAAATTCCTTTTGATATGTGTATATTGACTAGATGGGCCCATTACACGTTTTATATCATGGATGAGTTAAAATTAGGTAAGAATGTGTGTTAGCTGCTTTAGTGTATTATTATACTTTTATCTTACATTTCTGTTGTATTGGCCATATGTTGAGCAATACACACTCAACACTCTAAAATTTAGATGTGAATTTGAATGAGTGATCGTCATTGATGAGGTGGATGATGAAGATTTGACAAGTGGATGCATTTAAGGACTATGCCAGAAAATGAGTAAAACGCCATCCAGATAAACCAAAACTTGACACTTTGTTTGAATGGATCAAAACTGTTCAGTGATTGATTTAGAAGCGCATTCAAAATCTACGATGACGAATGAGGTCACAGGTTTCTGATCCTTTCAGGAAACCCGAGTTTGTGGATGCTTTATCCTCTCTTGATGACAAATATGTTGTTGTTTCAGTAGATAAAGCCTTAAACAATAGTGTTTTTACATGCAAAAATCATTTTTTGGAAAGTCTCATTG